AAGTTATACTTTTCCATTTTTAAAATCTTTCAACAAATTATGTGCAATCCCATTCAAACTGATTTAAATTACAACTAACACCCAGATTATCAACACTATCTGAGATATTAAATTCTCATAGCAATTGCAGGAAGCTAAAGCTTTTTTTTTTTCCCTTGGGTACAGGAAGCTGAAGCTGCTTGCAAGGGGGACTACGATCACCAAGACCCTCCTTGCAAAGAAAAAGTCTCACAAATCGACAACGTGAGATGTCTTTCCCTACTAATAATCATCTTTTAGATCATCAAAAGAGATAAAGCTAATACATCAACTAATTGGAGTATGATTGATTAATGACAAAAAACTTCCCTAAAGTTAACTATTTATCAAATGATTCATTGATTATATAAAAAAAAAGGCTATCATTGATTAAATTAACTTGAAGCTCTTGACCACCCTAAACTTGAATTGATTGGTTGTGTGATCATGATCAGCTGGTGAGCGGGTTGAATGTATATGACATACTGGAACCATGCTATCACAAAACAACGTCCACAAAGAACACAAGCTTGCCAAAAAGCTTTCAAGAATTGGGAAAAACTGATAAGCCTCTGCCGGTGAGAAAGAGGATGTTTGGCCGTGCATGGCCTTATCGAGCTCCCGTGAGAGATGGGATTGTTCCATCATGGCCACAATTAACTCAATCTCTTCAAGCCCAAGGAATTTCCGTTCCATGCACGGTTGAGTTTAATTACCTCAAAACTTCCTTGAATGTTCATACATGTCCTTTTGATTATGTTTAGATTACAGTGAAAGAAATTAAGTAGTGCATGGGATTTCTTGATGATCAAAATACAGAATGATGAAGTAGCAACTGCATGGCTGAACGCTGAAGCAGTGAGGAAGGCCATTCATGCTAGTCCGGTACGTACAAATATATGGCTAGCTGCTAGATTACATATGATCAAACTGTCTTTGATATTTTTATTTTGTACAAGTCTCGAGCGGTAAATAGATGGTTTTTGTTATTCTTCTGATGATATACATGATTAAATCCTCAGGAGAGTGGAAGTTGGAGCCTGTGCAATTACCTTGCATATAATCATGATGCAGGAAGCATGATTCCCTACCACAAAAATCTTACATCTGCTGGATACCCTGCTCTCATTTATAGGTAAAAATTTAAAGGCTATTAATTTGCACACATGTTGAACTTAAATGGGCAGTTCATCTTGTCACAAAAAAATTGCAGACCCTTTGATTTGTGTATTTCCAGAAAAAATTGGATTATTTTCCAAGAATAAAGAAAGTAATTTAAGAACATAGTAAGACCATAAATAAAAATTTGGGCATATAATATCTATGCCCACATTGCCCAAAAAAAGAAAAAAAAAAAAAAGAAACTATGCCAAACCCTTTTCCAAGCCTTCTTTTTCCATTTCAAAGTTTCTAGATTTGAAAGTCTTTTGTACTGACAAAACTTGTATATTATTCACAGTGGGGATCATGATATGTGTATCCCATTCACTGCTACTGAAGCATGGACTGCCTCCCTTGGGTATCCAGTCGTGGACCAATGGAGGCCTTGGCTATCTAACGATCAAGTTGCTGGGTACGCTTCAAAATTCTTACCATTTGTTTATGATTGATTTGGTTTTGAGAGAGAATTTATCTTTTATTATTCCAATTGAATCTTGGGAAACTGTTGGTGAAGATCTATCTTCTGCGTTTAAATACAATTCAACAATAAATCAATAGGTTATAAACTAGGTTGTTTGCTCCAGCAGGACTAGTAGAGCTGAATATGCTCCTTTCTTTTTTTTGGGAATAGAAGAATCTAAATATGTTACTAATAAGAATTTGTGAACAGTTGATAGTACGAATCTAAATATCTCCTAGAGAGGTTCAATCATCAATGTAGGATATGGCAAGGAGTCAATTTTATTGACTGGCAAAACAGGTTTCTGCCATGGTTTGTAACAAAATTTTGCCTTGTCATTTGATGAGGAAAGTAAATTAACAAAGAGGATGTGGTGCCTATTGCAGGTATCTAGTAGAATATGCCCATAATCTGACTTTTCTCACAGTAAAGGTATGAATCTGTGGACTACTTTATGCTTTTCTCTATTATTTACAAAACATAGTAATTCTTGTTCAAATTCGCCATTTTTTGTGTTTTTGTTACCACGGGTTATCAATTCATGCAGGGGTCTGGACACACTGTACCAGAGTACAAGCCACAGGAGGCATTGAACTTCTACACCCGTTGGCTGCAAGGACAAAAGATATGATGGGTTATCAACATCAACATGGGGTTTGATTACAGGGAGTTGGATTTTCGGGAAGCTGTGACTCTTCTTTGTTTTCTCCCTTCTGCAATGCATTTCTTACTTCTTAAATATTTTTGTAACTATAGCATTGATTACTAAACCAAAAGAGTCCACCTATAAAGAGCGATTGAAAATCACGACATTTCTAAATATAGACACAAACATGGGAATCCATAATGTCAAGGAAGTGAGCCATCTTTCAGTCTGTTTCTGTCGCTTAAACTTGTATGCCGCTTAGTATAGGACTTTTCAACAAAAAATATGTGATTTTCCGCTAATTGCATTATTAATGGTAAAAGAAGTATAAGATCCTGTTCATCAAGGTGCTTCAAGTGAAAATATTTAGAGTAAATTAATACTGTCCTAATAAAATTTTGGCTACAGATCAAACTTACGAAAATCCATGCAGGTCAATAATGCTGGCATAGAATTAGTCATGGAACAGCCATTTCTTTTAAGAAACCCAGGCATATTCTTTAGCATGTATTCATTCTTCCGTGAAAGGGCCTTCAGAAAATGTCTCGAAGAGTTCCATGAACTATTTGACAACTTAGTTAACAGTAATAGTGTCAAGACGCAACTGGAGGGTAAATTTTTGGTAATATTCTTCAGGCACCACCAATCAGAAAGACATAATGACCATATTCTTAAAGCTCCACAAATATGCAGGATTAGTGCGGAACAGAAATCATTGGCTTGAGATTTCCAGTAGAGATGAATTGGTCAATATCTGAATCTTTCTCAACTGGTTTCAAGAAGCCCTTGAAAAAAGAAGCTCCGATTCCCAAAGTAGGACATGATAAACAGAATGAAATTTTTGCACAGGAGGATACTTGGAGGTGCAAATGAAGCAAAATAGGATTTTCCAGCATTTTTTGGGCTTCAAGGCATGATTTTGGCTCATTAAGAGGTTAAAAATGTCAACCCAAAGAGCACAAGTTGATCATTTGATAATTTTGCTTGATGCAAGAGTGCTGTCAAAGCATCAAAATCGCTCCATAGGAACCAAAGAGCAGAAAATTATGTGCCTTAGTTGAGTCGCAGCCTATATCCACTTCAATAGATTCAACATGGACTTTTTTTCCAACTACAGTACCATCTGCTGGCGTGCACACCATCTTACATCAGGAGTTACTTCTTGAACCTAAATTATGCAATTCAGAACATACACCTAATGCAGGCCGGAAATTGTAATGCAGAGAAATGGAGTCAAGCATCAGAAGCAGGACAAGAATGGATGAAAACGGAACATTGCTACATGAAATATAGAAGTCCAGCTTTTACCACTAAAACTTAACCAGTAAATACCTTCAGGTTACTCAGCATCTTAACTGTTGCAGGAGTGAAATATAGCTGCAAGCAGAAAACCATGCATTAGGACTGTCTGATTGTCACAGATTCAACATGATCTAAAAGTGGAATACAATCCTTTACACAAATTCAAATACAAATATTAGATGCACAAGTGCGACCTGAAGTTACAAGATATAGCAAAATTCAGTAACACGCAAGATATTCACAAAATTTAGCTGAAGCTATGCAACTAATTAGTCATCATCAAACATTTAATGACACCCCAAAAAAAAAAAGAAAAACAGATTTACTTGGGTTCACAAATGACGAAAGCCTTTGACAGTCTGGAATCAAGTTATTAGTAAAACTGCCAATATGTGTGCATGCATGGGATCAATAACCTAGGGATCTCTTTATCAAGACCAGCCATTTGTGCCAGCAATCCCTCAAAAGTTCACAAATAAGAACCTAAATTTTTATATCCTTCTCCATCTCAGACCCAACGGCAATCTGTCATAGGAATGTCATTGAGGATTATCAAAGAGAAACGTTATAGGAACCATGTTCTGTTTTTGCTTGTATATATCTTGTTTGACTTTGATACTTTAGGCTAACAATATGAGCAACGAGTTAACTACTACAGCATTGTCCACAGTCCACACAATAAAATAGGCTGAGAACATCTCCCCTGTTTCACAAAGAAACACTAAAAGCATTAGATTTTCCATGACTTCACTGAGATATAAGATGGTATTCAGGGAAAGATCATGCTTTCTGCATATCACAAGATTGCTGATGATGTCACAAAAGAATAAGAGTTAAATATGTAACTATACGTGCAGATCAGGTTGAAATTAGCCTATGGGAATCAACAGGCCACAGCACCACCTTTAGGATGAAGATCACCCAGACCTAAAGGAACCTTGACCCTCAACAAACAGCTAGATAATCCAAGTATTAGGGCTACCTTCAAACTTAATGTCTTCAATTCTGAGCTCACATCATCTAAGGAAACCTAAGGATCTGCAAGATTGTGGCTCAAATTAAATGGCATCAACTCATTGAAGAAAATGATGCTCCAACCACTAAAAAATTTAGGAAAAGAAGTTGGTGAGCACCCTAGACTTAGGATAACTTTTGTCTTCGCAGCCATTATATATGCATACACCGCTTTTAGAAAAACTGAGATTGCTCTTTCCCCAATATTATGTTTTAGGTGCCTGGCTTTCACACTTCAATTTCTTCTCAATCTCAACCACCCTTCAAAGATCACATAACACCCAAATGGCTAACCTCTTCCTAACTCATTATTAGAAATTTACATTTATACGAGATTAATAGATAACATTATCAAAGAAGGATTAACTGGAACATCAGGACTCGCAAAGACAAGAGAAAATGGTTAATTGTATTATTTAAAAAAGAACATACACTTGCAAAGATGTTTGACGCAAACAATCAATTGACAGTTGACACGAAATGTCTAAAGTTTCACTGAGTAAAAGCAAGAAATATGCTTGGTGTCTAGAGGTGAAAGGTAAATGCTAAAAACCTTCATACCTTGCATTGACTATGAGTTGCATTACATTTATCTGCTGCCAATGCCCATCTCAACAGAACAGTTGCTGCATCTGTATACCTGTGGAAGATGAGAGCCGACGAATTACTTGCACATACAATTCTTGGATAAAAGTCATGTTAATAAGTATGGTTATGAGTTATGACACAATAACTACTAAAATGTTTTATTACGTTGTTATGTGATAAATGCTTCAGACCTTTGAGGCTTAACTCATGACGTTCTTGAGAATCTTGATTTTCTTTTGTATTCTTATACTACCAACTATTTTCACTTAGCAGTACAACTTTCAATGACTCACATTCGCTTATAATTGCTTAATACCTCAAAAACTTTAACTTTTCATCATCATGTCTACATAGTTTCAAAATCAGTTGTCAGGGTTCCACATGTTCCCTACTTTGCCACACATTCCCAATTTGTATTCGAGTATTACATGTTTTCACAACTCACCAAACTTCCACGTCAAGATGAAAGGAATAAACAATTAGCTCGAAGATTTAAAGCAACACCATCATCTGCTATCCATCTTAAAGATGAGGGGAAAAAAAAGACTAACTTCTCAAATTTGTAAAAACCTAACAAGGCCTCTAGGAATTTATGTTCAGAAGCATCCCCCATTCAAGTATTTTCAGGTTCTATGGAGTAAAATGGCAAGTTTTACTTGAACTACATGAATCCTCCCCAAAAATGTTATTAAATTTTTTTACTTATCATTTATACTTCACATAGTCACCTGATGACAGAAAAGGTTGCATGAGAGGAACCAAAATAGAGGTGTCAGGGATGTATTTTGCTATGGCGAAAATGCAACACACCTTATATTTGCCAAAAGTCACGGTTTCCATTCATAAATTAACAGCATAAACCAACAAATAATTCGAAAAAAAAGGATTAACTTAAAAGTTTCAGATTTGGTATCACTTAGTGCTTAGACATGAGAACTAAAAAAAGAGTTGAAGAGAGACTCAACAATCAACAGTAATCACTCAGATTTATTAACTTAAAATGAACGAAGGCCCTCTTACTTTTCAAGTTTCAAATAGACACTAGCAGCGGCACGATATAAGTCAAAGGCCATTTGTTCCTTGCCGTCCTCCTCAAGAGTTTCACAAGCATCAATATATAGCTTGACAGCATCCTCAGGCAGAGCATCTTCTAAAGCACTGTCATAAATTTACCTTTCTTTAAACTGTGCAAAAGGTTATTAAATATGAAAAAAGAAAGAAAAGAGGCACAAAAAGGAAAAGGATATCATCCCCCAAGTAGCTAGTAGTGTATATTTGACTCCGGGAAAATTACAAGGAAATTTCTCTTTCGAATAGCCATACATTTGTAAGAGTTGCTTCTTTCTAAAAGAACTCTCATAGAAAGTACCAATTCATGCAATAAATCCTTCTAGATGTTAAATGCAACAAATGCCTCAAAATCAAGGGTAGAAGATAAAGTTGCAGAAGCAATAGAAGAAAATGAAAGTTGTTGTGCAAGGTTTGCAGCAAAGAAAGATACAAGCCAAAGCATCCATTAAAGTAAGAACTTCTAGTGGGTGATCAAGCATCACTTCCCCGAACTCTACTCCTACCTCCCTTTTTCTCCTCCCTGGTGATTCTAACATGACCACCTACTCAATATGATCCCTGTTAATCTAACATGACCAGCCACCCAATATGAACACAATCCATAATGATCAGAATAGATTTGAAGGAAGATGGGCTCAGATCTGTATCCAAAATAACATACAGATAGGTCGATCCATAAGTTGACCCATATGACAAAGCCAATTTCCTACACCAGTGAAATGTAATACCACTCCTTCTAGGACAGTTAAGTATTTCAGCTAGATTGAACAAAAGAAAAAAATTTAAACACATAGTTAGCTTCTTCTAGTGTTATTGGATTGTGGCATAACATAAAAGGACCAAGTTCTGAAGTATAAATTTCAACTATAACTCTGTACAGCTATGAATATCCATCGCTTTTTAGCACGTTCAACTTGAAACAGCTGCAGAAATGCAACTATATTAGACACAACAAAAGACACACGCACACACACACCCCCCACCCCCCGGGGGGCTCTAATATGCATTACATGAAGGAGACACTTTGAACAATATGTTTAATTTATTATGAGAAAAAAATCCATGAAAAATGAAAATAAGTATACCTAACAAAGTAGAAAAAAATTATAGTCCAGCAAGAAATCATTGCTTACCGAGCACCCTTAGCAAGTGCATCTGATGCAGGTTGTGACCGTCCACATTCAATGTATAACTCAGATGCACGTCTATAAAAGTCAGCAACTTCACGCCAGTTTCCTAGTTCTTTAGCCACAGTAGCAGCAGATTCCATATGTTTAGCAGCATCCCAAGGTCTAATTTACGAGTCAAGGAAGCGGAATGTAAAAAAATATGAAAATTCAGAAATAGTAGTCATAGACAGGATATGAAGATAACATCTCCTGTCCCTTGGAAGCTTTCTCAAATGCCTCTTTTGCTTTCTCATGCTTTTTTGACAGCCTAAATGCATTAGCTACAAAACAAAACAAAAATAAAAACAAAGTAAACATCCAGAAAACACACGACGAGTAACTAGTATTTAAACTTCTTATTATGCCATGGAATGATAGTTAAAATTGGAAAACTACCTGCCTGCTCATACAAAACTGTGGCACTTTTCCAATCAGCACTCCATCTAGTTAAACTAAGTTTTGTTCTACAAAATCCGTATGCAAGTAAGTTAGATTGCAAAAAATGTCCATTATACATATAACTTAAAAATAATATCTCCATTCTGACATGAGAATCATAAAATCAAACATTGAGTTTGACATACAATATAAGCAACGCGATTCATATACAGTTCGTATATAAAATATTGTAAATTTTTTTTCTTCATTTCCATCTCCAAGAAATCCCGTATGAGCTGAGAATTCTCATATAGAAGAGTCTCTAGCTGAGCATATTATGTATCATGAAGAATCAAATTCAGTACTAGTGCTATTTTTCTGCAATCGGAAACATCCACCATAAATGTTTGAAATTGACATTTCCTAAAATGTAAATTTCCTAATTCCACCCTTCAAATTTATTTACATGGAATCGAGATCGGAAAATGCACAAACTCCAAAAACCAAAAAGCAGTATTAAAAACAGCTCATGATTTCCAGTCACTACAAATTACGATTCAGAAGATGTTCACTGGTCACGATAGAATTCCTACTCCTAATCCACAAAGTTCGCGTCCAAATTGAACACAATACTCGCATTATCCATCTCAAGAACATTTCAACTAGTCCAGTAGCCAAACCACATAAAAATGCCGAAATCGGCAACATTATTATTCTCGTCCCAAAAAACTTAGATCAGCTTCAAGAAGACCACACAAAATAATAATAATAATAATAATAATAACAGAATTCTCCCTCGTTTCTCAATCATTCTCCGATGAATTGAGAAATGTCAGGATATCAAATTCAGCTGTAAATATTCGAGAATCACATCACCCGTATCTGTATTTCGTTGAGTAACAAACTTTTTCTGCAAATACAAATATCAATGCTAGGGAGAGAGGGGTTTGGAGACTGACAGTTTATCGGCTTTTGCGATCAACTTGTCGGGATCGGAAGACATGGCTGGGTTTGGCTGGCAGCTGCGGGGTCCTGCTTCCGTCAGAATTCAATAACCGCTGCCTTTAAAATTAAATATTGAAATGATGATGGAATCTAGCGTATTATTCACTCTTTCCCTTTTTTTTTTTTTTTTGGTTGACTGCTGTATTTTACATTTTTACTGCCAGTCAATCCAGCTAGGAAAATTTTAGGGAGTGGTCACCTCACCGGAAGGGAAATCTAAAGTGAAGGCGTCATGCTGTATTACCGTAACAGATCACGCCTTCAGATTTGTTGGTCAAACCACCTCCTGCAGTCACTACGGCATGCAGATGATTAGAAGTAGTAAAATGAAGGCGTGCCCGTTTGTTAAAGTAAATGTGTCACGCCTCTTTGGTAAATGGTGTGGCCGTATAGTCAAGCCTAGCCTAATTCTTGGAAGAGAAGGGAAAAGGGGGTTTGGGTGCATGGTGGCTCCCCAAAAACAGCTTTGTGTGTCCGTCTAATTTTGTAGCCATTGTGCTTGACCTAATCGGTGGAGCGGGGCGGAGGGTGGTGTTTTGCGCATGGTGCCACAAATATGGCAAGATGCATCCCTCTTACCATAACAACTCCAAATGAACTGAATCTGCAATTGAATAAACTTCGAATTGTACCTTAAAGAAACAGCATGTGTACTTCAATGTAGTTTTATCACTTAGGCTTTAGAATTATTTTTATCATAACTCACATACCATTGAAGTTTATTTAGCCACGCCTCTAAGAATCGAGGCTTTAAAAGCGTGCTATCACGTACATTTTCTTTTAATCACGAGTTCGCTACACTTTTGAGCAACAATGAGGAATTTAACAAAAAACGATCGATTTTTTTTTTTTTGGTTTAATTTTAACAAAGAGAGAGAGAGATGCAAAATATAGCAAATATGGGATCCACCAAGTAATATTAGATTTCGTCCATTGTGCTAATTGAAATCTAATCATGTATCAATATGACAGTTTGCGTGATATGAGGACATTCGCAGTAGCATTTCTCATCAGATCAGATGTACATCAATTGGTTCAGCTGCCTAAAGGACACAAAATTTGTAAATGATACTCGTAATAAAATTGAAGGAATGCATGTTGATAACAATTTGACTGTCCCTTGTACAGATGAGTCACAGCAGTGTTTTTACTAATAAAACGATCCGGGCACATTACCATGGAATCAAGACATCCATCCTTGTATGTATATTTCAGTGTGCTTTGATGCTGCACAACTGGGCGGACTCTCACGGAACAGAATCCTAGCAGCTTTCCAAAGGGAAGAAGAGAAAATCCCTGTTGTCTTTGTACTAAAATCTATTGACCGGTCCAATTCTCAACTCTAGTGTCAACAACCAATGAATGTTGCTCCCAGTAGTATTCCTGAGGCACAAGAAAACAGAAACATGTAGTTCCATTCATTCAAAAGTACGAATGCCTTCTGGGAAGGGCAGCAGCTTTGCGTAACAAAAGTGACACTTCCATTGATATTTTCTTTAGAAAACAAAAAAGAAAGTATACATATAATGCCTTCACTACTGTTAGTACCCCAGCAGATTGATTTGTCGAACGAGGGAAAGTAGTAGGGCAAGCAATGATGAAAGCAGCAAAGCTGCAGCTCAATATCCAAGTTGGAGTGCACATAACAGCGCATGATTTGGCATACAATAATCACGGTGTTTCTCCTGAGGGCTCTCAGTGACCATAAACAACTTTCTTTCTCAGAGAAAAAAAAATTCAATTTTTTAACTTAAATTGAAGCAATTTATTAACTGAAACATAATGTAGTGTGTAGGCCTATGGCAGCCAGATAAAATGATAGATATGTTCAATGCTGTCTTATTTGAGACAGTTAAGATGTATTACCTATAAGTACTCTATAGTGGAAGGAGAGGGGTTCTTTCATCATGTTCCACTCGATGGCTAGCCTGTAAAATTGATAAGAGAGAAATCACATGTGCATGTAATAAGTGAATCCATATATATACGTAAATTCTAAGCATGCAGTAGTGGAGTCTTACCTCGTCATGAGCCCCAGCTGCCATGTCCACAAAGGATGCATCCTTAGACCTGGAAACATTACGTGTCAAACCATTTTCTAAAATAGTAAAGAAACAACAGAAACATACAGCCATGTCATCAGCGCATAAAGCATGTCTACCAAAAGGAGCAACCGGTTAAGAAAAGATGACATGGACATTCTGAAATGTCAGTTTCCTATCCAGTGTGATTCTGCCATTGACTTAGCTGTTTTTATTTTCAAGAAAGTTATGGTTAGACTCGAGTTATTATAATCTTGTAATACATTCTGGCATATCCTTTATTTCAGATCCATCTAACTTTACAGGTAAAAGGTCAATCCAATTATCTCATGGTAATCTAAAGACCTGTGTGCAACATGGAACTTCAGCATTTTCATTTTTGCATTTCCTCCCATATCTACCGAGAAGTTTAGCAGCACAAAGCACAAAACTTGTCAAAATCTTCTTAGACAATCACTGAGGCAAATGTCCAATCCACCAACACCACATATATACTCATGAAAGGTGTATCTATGGAAGCCGATAACTGAAATCAAGCCTGCAAAAAAGTGTAACTTTTCAAAAGTTACTTGTTCTACAGAATGAATCGGAATGGATGAAGAACAATACTGTTAGCCTTACTGATGTCTCATAGATATAAAGGTTTCTTACAAAGGCGAATGTCTCGCTTTCATCATGAGGACCACTATTGCTTTTGTGCCCTACTTTCGCTCACAATCAACTGGATAGCTATTGACTTTTTCAATCCGGTACCCTATCTATTCCCAGGCTTGCTTAGCCTAAAAATCCAGCCCCAAGCACTAATTTATGTAGAAAGACTACTAATGACATTACACCGAAACAGTAAAGAACTGCCTTTGTTTAAAGAGGAGTGTAGGCCACAGAAACCTAGTTTTTACCACAGTTCCTTGTGTATCTAACCAAGAGATAACATGTAATAGCATTTTCCAGAGCTTAAGAGTTTATTAAACAAGAATACTCATCATATGCTTCCCAAGGCGAAAAATAATGATAATCTCATACCTAAAGTTATGTTGAGTTTTCATCATTTCCATACCACCATTCTGTACTTCATCCTTGACCTTTGAAAGGGGTGAAAAAAACTGGAAATAGAATAATAATGTAAGACGAATTTACAAGAGAGACATTAGATCATATATTCTTCAACCTCAAGCAGTTCAACATAATAAAGTAGAATAGATGATAAAAGGGATTTAGATTATCAAACATGAAAATAAGAGGAAAAAAAAAAGTAAGAAATCCATTGAGAGAATATAAAGCTAATTGTATTGCCTTCTGCTGAGTTACCTGATGCATGGAGATAAATACAATGGAGATTCCTAAGATGAAGTTTATTGTCAAAGTATGACCAAACAATGCTGCAGATGCAATCCCAGTAAAAATTGTTGCAACAGTTGACGAATACTTCTTCAAAATTGTATCTACACAATTAAAGACAATCCAAATCAAGGCCTTGCACGTGGTGAACACAAGAATGGTATACAGCTGTTTATGGCAGCACTATAGTCAGTAACATAACATTTCCTATTTTGAGCAATGATGTATTTTACTGCGTACTTAGACATAAGTCAGCATCATGTAACAACCAGTTGAAATCTGCCATATGCCTAATTAAAATAACCCATTGCCAACAGATTGGTTTCAGACACATCCGAATTTGGATTTCAGATATCTGCCAAGTATGTACCAAGAAAATTGAAGCAGTATTCAGGTTCCGACGATCCCGACTTGTGCTCCTGAAAGTTTCCTCACTTTGACTTCCTTAGGAGAGAAGATTTTCCTAACATAGTGACTGAGATTAACTTCGTCCAATTTTCAACTTGATTAAAAACAGCTTCACCTACCATCTCAGGCAGTGTAAATTATCTAAACCATATATTTCGTCCCTACCAAAATTTCTCATTAGCAAATACATTTCAACAAGCACTCAAGTTTCAGGTGAAACCAACAAAAGAAACACAACCAAAAACGAAATAAACAGGAAGTTTTTGTTAAACTCAGCACAACAAATTTCATGTTAAAATGAATAATAAAAGAAGGAAAGATCAAAGCCAAAACATACAATGAAAACAGTTCGAATTTCTTTCAGTATGGATGATAAAATAAGTGTCGTAGGATGAACTATGATATGTGGATAATGAGACAGACAGGTACAGTTTGTTAATGTATGTAAAGGGGAAAAATGTATGTACAGGAGCAAAGGAGCACATGCATAACTGTGAAAGCAGCTAGTACAAAATGTACATCAATTTTAGATTTTGCATATCATGATGAGACAAACTTTAAAACATGCACAGCAGGACACTTGATGCCCAGGAACAAATGCGAGAAACACTTGGAAAGATAAATCAACAAACATAAATGAGGTCATCATATTTTGGGTTTAAAGCAGTTTGGGTGACATCCCCTGAACAACGTATCTTAAAGCAACAAAGAAAAGGATCTAGATAAACTCTACAACCCTTCGAGGATTAATCCCTTTATAACTGGTCATTCATGTTTAACTAATCTACTACATTAAGTTCCATCAGTGACCCAAACATGGGCTGTTCCATTCTTACCTATTCTTTCAAAATGCACAAAAGATAAAGAGGTCCACAAAACACAAGAAGGCAAAAGAATTTGTTGGAAAAGACAGCGCAAGAAACGGAGCACAAAATTGTCTGTAAGTTCTACCAATCCACAAACCTATTTGCATATTAACTACTAGACAGGACCTTTAATACGGAACTTGATTAATATTTAAGAAATGATAGATACCTGCATATTTGAAGAAAAATGAGGATAAGATCCCTTGAGCTGCATTGTTGCATATTAAAAAAATAGTTGCCTTTGAATGTCCCCGCAAGATATCCAAGTTATCAGGTCCTAAAGTACAGTTAAGTAGAAGGATTAGTCAGAAGCACAGTAAGGAGAAAAGAAAAACTTTTCCAATCATTTTCAAGAAATAATACATATTTGCTATGACAAATATAGAATGACTATTAAAAGCAAAAAAACCACGTGAGCGTTCAGATTCATAAAACACAACCACATATTCAACTCAAATAGTCATTTTTTAAAGCCTGGAAAGTTTGATAGAACTTCATGACAGCCTGTAATAAGTATGAACCGACATCTGGCAGTGGTTGCCACCTATATCCTCTCCTCTCAAACTTTACTATGCTTTAAGATTCCATGTTTTGACCATACCTATAAGCATACAGCCTCTGATCTGACATCATGCAAACATTTGGTAGGAAGTACTAAACAATGAAAAAAGGCATGATTTCCGGTGACCATTCAATCCAACGATACATGTTATATTGACCACTGAGAATGTCTCTGGAAACACAACTTGCAAAAAGTAGATAATGCACTTCATAGACTCCTCGGAGTGAATATACTCTAGTTTATTCAGACAAACTCAGACGTCCTGTAGTTTCTCATCCTGCTCCATGGATAACTGCTAAACTATCCATTTTTAGAAAAATTCTGTCATCTCGGTCTACCACTCTCAACCAGTGTAGCGTGAAAGTGGGATGAAGGTCCCAGTATTTCAGTGCCAAGGTTCTGCACATTTGTTTTTATCTATGTCGGATGTATGGGTATAAAACTAGGAGCAAATTGAGTACAGTAAATTCTTCAAAGCAAAATAAATGACTCACCAGTCCAAAATACTGTAATTAGCATTTAAAGCAAAACAATTAATTTGTAATCATATCAAGATAACTGGTTACAAAACTTGACAACTCAGCCTCGAACAATTGATCTTTACAGGATAGAACTGCTGCATCCTAGGAAAATATGATGTTTTAATACCTTTGAAAATGGCAGCCCCAAGTATTCCAAGAAAGTTGAATATTGCACCATAACCATACAGAAATAGATTCTGCAAACAATCATAAAATATTTATTGAGGAATTGGAACATGATAACAATAACAAGGTCCATACAGTAGACCCATACAACAGAAACAAATATCTGAATACCAAGTAAAACAGTGTAAATCTCATCATTATCCAGGAGTAAGACAAATCAACTGGGCTGAAAATCAAAATAGAAAGATAAATCTAGGAATGTGCTCAAAGCCAAAGGAAGAAGACCAACTATTAATTAGCTTAACCACAACTACAGTTAAAGTACTTCTGCATTTCATTTCACTACTGGTAAGCAGATATTCTCATGCAAATCCATGCTTTACCTTACAAACAATCATCCAATTTGGTTGATGTCCTCTCTGTGCCTCTCTGTCTTTGTCCACATTTATAAACATACATATGCTTGCATACGTACATAGAGACATGTAAATGCACATATACATACATATATGCACACATAAATATCAGGCCTTCTGTGAATTAATTTCTGTTTGGGGACTGCTAGGGGCTGAAGTGGGCAAGGTCTTAGGGCAGGCAATTTCATGTACTAAGAATCCAAGGAAGAAGTCAGACTTTGGATTAATTAACTGCAAACAGTTAAAACTCACCTGAAGATAAATGCTAGTCTCAAATTGGCTCTTCAAAGCATACTCATTGTAGACTGAAGCCAATGAAGGAACAGTTACCTGAAATATAGATTATAGTGTTGGCAACTAACTTCATGGTGCCTTACCCCAAAATAAATAAATAAATTTATACACAATACATAAAAGGCGTCTAGTACCTAACATTGCTATGTAGTTCTATCTAGTAAATACAGTCCGTTCTTAACATGGCAGTCACTTATAGCAGTAAAGCTGTGAGTGTAAAATAAGAATGAGTGCAAGTATTATTTAGCGAGTAGTCTGATAACATTTCACCACTTAATGAGCTTTATACACCAAAATGGGAGGATCGAAGCAACTTCAAGTCACCCAGAAACTGAGCACAATAAAAGCAGACAAGGAAAAAGCAATTCAAGGAATCAAATAGCAAATTATTTCCAAAGGACTTACAAAAATTAATGTGTATAAATAAGCAGCTGTTGCCACTGGAAGACCCATAGCACTAGAACCCTCTGGTAGAGAGCGCAGCTGATTGACTGAAATTCCAATAAGCAACAGTGCAAGAGCCTCCCACTGAAGCAAACGAAAAGGCACAATCACATACAGAGAACAGATTTTATAATCAACCATCCAGACATTAAAGGCTCATAACAACTCCCCGAAGAAAAGGAGGGAAAAGGAGGGAAAAGAAGAATAAGAAGAAGAAACAGTAGAACAGATATGCATGTTTGCTTAATGAAATTTCAATTGATAGAATGCCCACTAAATTATTTAAAAATACAAATTACAAACCTGAATTATGGAAAAGCGACGTCTCATTATTATCTTTAACAAAACTGCGATAACCAAAACCTGCAAAGGTACAATACAAATTTTAAAGACAATAAAACAAAATCTAGAAAAAATTATGGAAGCCATAAGTCAATAATGCTGGCATAGAATTAGTCATGGAACAGCCATTTCTTTTAAGAAACCCAGGCATATTCTTTAGCATGTATTCATTCTTCCGTGAAAGGGCCTTCAGAAAATGTCTCGAAGAGTTCCATGAACTATTTGACAACTTAGTTAACAGTAATAGTGTCAAGACGCAACTGGAGGGTAAATTTTTGGTAATATTCTTCAGGCACCACCAATCAGAAAGACATAATGACCATATTCTTAAAGCTCCACAAATATGCAGGATTAGTGCGGAACAGAAATCATTGGCTTGAGATTTCCAGTAGAGATGAATTGGTCAATATCTGAATCTTTCTCAACTGGTTTCAAGAAGCCCTTGAAAAAAGAAGCTCCGATTCCCAAAGTAGGACATGATAAACAGAATGAAATTTTTGCACAGGAGGATACTTGGAGGTGCAAATGAAGCAAAATAGGATTTTCCAGCATTTTTTGGGCTTCAAGGCATGATTTTGGCTCATTAAGAGGTTAAAAATGTCAACCCAAAGAGCACAAGTTGATCATTTGATAATTTTGCTTGATGCAAGAGTGCTGTCAAAGCATCAAAATCGCTCCATAGGAACCAAAGAGCAGAAAATTATGTGCCTTAGTTGAGTCGCAGCCTATATCCACTTCAATAGATTCAACATGGACTTTTTTTCCAACTACAGTACCATCTGCTGGCGTGCACACCATCTTACATCAGGAGTTACTTCTTGAACCTAAATTATGCAATTCAGAACATACACCTAATGCAGGCCGGAAATTGTAATGCAGAGAAATGGAGTCAAGCATCAGAAGCAGGACAAGAATGGATGAAAACGGAACATTGCTACATGAAATATAGAAGTCCAGCTTTTACCACTAAAACTTAACCAGTAAATACCTTCAGGTTACTCAGCATCTTAACTGTTGCAGGAGTGAAATATAGCTGCAAGCAGAAAACCATGCATTAGGACTGTCTGATTGTCACAGATTCAACATGATGACATCAAACATTTCAAACTCTGATAAGTGTACAGATACATAAATGTGTGTGCGTGTAGGCCCAATTTATGGCAAGTCACGTGACATTCAAGTGCTTCTCTTTCACAAAAATGGCAGAGCCACGCTCATCCATCTTGTATACACAAAGCACCTTCCCTGGCCCAACCCACATTTACATAATAAAAGTGCTCCAAAACACCTTAAAACACTCATAAGTGCTGTAGCCTATGAAGTCACAACTCACAGCCATACACATATATGGTTGGGCTGTCTGGTGGGCGTTTTAACACATTCATCACCCAAATTCAAGTTCCAAGCGCACACCCCCACCCAAAAAAAAAACCCCCCATCCAGTCAACCAACCTGCTAGAGGGCTACAATACATCTAAAATGAACAAAAGATTACTAAGCCATAAAAATAAAACTCCAACAGTGGAATAACACTACTAAGTCAAAATTCAAGAATAACACTGCAACAATTGAAAACAGTACTAATCCATAAGCAATGAAAAATGACCTTCCCAACTAAATGCAGATAAGAAAACGAAAGTGAAAGTTGAGGTTTTACCTGCATGGTAAACTTCAGATAGTTGTTTATAGCATAAAGCAGAGCAGGAACAGCCAGAAGCATATTATTACGAGCAGCCTGATGGCAGCAAAAGGAAACAAAACGAACATTAATCATTACAATCTCTTAAAATGCCATAGCGAACAATCTAATCAATGACAAATAGCCATGAAAGAAGCCAACCAAGTAGGAATAATGGACAAAAGTTCATCACAAGTCCCTGTAACTGGGAACAAAGAGTTGACACCTTTCATTATCAGTTGAGAAATTTCAATAAAGCGTTTGTCAGGAATTACACCTTTCCCAACAATGGCTACTTATTCCAGTTTGCATTTTGTTCCAAACTAAAAGGGTAACAAGTTTCAACAATAAAGAATTTCTAATGTTTTTAAAAGGTGCCCTCTAGTAAATTCTTGTGCAAGCTAAAATCTGATTAAACACTCAAGAACTACAACCATATTAAGCACCAGAAACTCTTACCCGGAAAAATATAGAGACAGAGAGCAGGGGTTTCTCTCCCACTTTTTGATGCCGTGCCTGCAAAAATAGACGGATAACATATGGTGACTCTGAGCATTTACCAGTGAAAATGCTCTAAAACAACTTTCCACCAACTTAATGTTAAATACAAGCTAGATAATGCTTCCACAACCACAAAAATATTTCTAGGATATATTACTGTCCTTTGTATGCAGAATTATAGAGTAAAAGAAATCTTCACATGCATAAACCATCATACTGGATACCAAACGACTAGTTTTTTAGTTCAATTAAAGTGAAATTTCTTCAGAACTAAAATTTTTAACCTGAATATGGAATTTTACGATAAAGAAGAAAAATGTAACTTTCTACTGTAGTTTGATAACTTCAAACTCAAACTAGTGTGGAGTGTCACAAACATAAGCAGCAGCAATTAGTTTCTTCTTGGAGTCAGGAATTGCAGTATCTGTCAATTTTGTACTGCATGACTTGTGGTTTAGTTCACAGGCCTTATAGGCCTTTTCATATGGTCTAACTCTGACCTAAGCAGCCACAAACTTTTCCTTTCCCTCTTTTGCCATCATTCCAAGGGCAACTTAGTGCCCCTTTCTATGAATTTAAGTACTTGAACCCATGACACTTTTTTCTGCAAACCAGGAGATAATTTCCTGGAAAGCTCCTCAATTTTTTTTTTTTTTTTGTGGAAAGTTCGAGAGTCTCTATTTGTAGATTAAACCAAGTCCAGATAAGTAAGAAAGGCAAAATTATCGGACATTTGCCAAACATCTTCCTAAAAGTCACTTGCAAAGAGAAATTCAGAATCTTGATATCAATATATTTCACAGATACTTCTGACAGTCAGACAGATATCTCCCTACTTATGCATTCACAAAGCTTAACATGTGTACATATCTTATTAGCATCAATTCATGTTTCTTATGCGGGCAGAAACCATCATCATGCTTGTCCTTGTATAAATCAGCACTTTGCGGCTCTACTGCAACTAAATTTCTCTTAGCGTTGCAATAACAGTATGATATCACTTACACATTCCAGTGTCCATTTTTCTTTTCTTTTCTTTTTTTGAGAGGGGGTTGAGTACTTTGCTGCACTGCCATAAAGATTAAAGATTTAGTACTTTTAGCTTGCAAACAGAATCACATTATTTGTTGGACGTGGACATTTGACTTTTTCTTGTTACGCAATCCTTCCATGGTCAGAAAACAAGTACACAAACTTTTCTGCTGCAAGAATCCCAATTCTTTTCTCCTCAGTTAAAAAAGGGTATCCTGTCTTAACAAATATGCGCCAAAAACATGTATATGCATGCAGGTACAACAGAAGACATTGCACATAATACTCCAAATGCTAAAAACTAAGCCACCTGAAAACAGAGCATGAGAACTGCAAAGACGACTTTTGTAACCTCAGTCAGGAAGTTCACGCTAATTGGACTGAACTTGAAACTCCCATCGACTTTTGACATATACACCAATATAGGCTGCAAAAGAGGGGAAAAATAAATAAAATATCTTCTGCTGTCTTAACTGATAGCTATGATGCCAATTTGACTAAATTAAAGCCACAATCTCCAGTCACAAACAAAATGCAAGTATTGAGGCTTGAACTGTGCAGGGTTAAGCAAATTCTCAAAATGGCAATAAATGTAAATATCTGTGATTAGATTAGATGGGAGATCCATTCAGAAAGAAAAGTCTACCTTTCATCCTACAAGACACAAACAAAAAGGCATACTTCCTTATCAAAACCTTCCACAAGGTCTGCATGTCTAATACTTTAGAAAGCCTTGCACTAATTTCAGTTTCTTCTTTCTAACAAGTATATCAAAGAGATAGGTAGATATATAGTACATTTTCTATAATCATAAGAAGCATTTTTCGTGTTATAATCTCTCTGACTTGGGTATCTAGATTAACATTACCAGGGATTACAGAGCCAAATTACGTAACGAAAAAGATACTTCCAATTGCATTCAGCATAAATCTAACATTACTTCATAAGCGCACAATTATTCCAGAGATTTGAGTAGCATACCCATAGTTAGTAATGTATGTCAGCCAAAAAATAAAAATAACGCTTGTAATGAAACTGTAACACGTCTGCCCCAGAACACAGCATGTTCCTATAAATAATTATGTTAATATAAAATAAATAAATAAAAGCATTCCTTTTGTTTGCCTCTTAATAAACCTCAATAACATTCTATTGGATAAATATTACCTCGTAAAATCAATATTTTTCGGAATTTTAATTAGAAATTCTAACTCCGGTGATCAAGTCAGGCATCAGTATACCTCAATTTGCAGTAGAACTAGTAATAAAGAACAGCAAGATTTATAACATCGCAACTATCAAAGTAATCATCATAAATTCTTCCATTTCTCCAGATGAGCACACCAAACCAGCTAAAATTTCAGCTGAAAAAAATGAGTGATCAGCCAAAAAATCACCTGACTAATTAAAGAGAAAAAATCACCTGTAAGCCGACTAAAACGCAATCGCCACCAACTAGGAAGATGTTAAAGGCGCGAGTTTTCAGCGAAATATCATTCCGGTGGCGATCGTACGCCTTAGACACTGTTTTAGCGCTCGGAGACACCAATTTGGAATGGCAGACGCTGCATTCCACCATTCCATTCATATTCGTCTTCATTTAAAACTGAAAAAAATAATCTAACTAAAAAAATCTCTATATACACACACACACACACACACACAAAGAAAATCAGGTGTGGATGGAAGAAAATCAGCTGATAAATCTGTAGATATGGATAAAGAGAGATCAACGCAGGAGGAGGAATGTAAATTGAGCTGATGATTGGATCTGATAAACTAGAATTCAATTGGACTGAGAATTGAATTCAAGTGCCGCAAGAGAGAGAAAGAAAGAGATAGAGAGAGAGAGAGAGAGAGAGCTTGTGTGTGTGTGTGTGTGCGTTGGTATATTTTTGGTTTTAGAGAAGGTTTGGATCTGAAATCTGTGTGTTGCTGTTGTAACGTCGCTGCCTCTACACTACGCGCCTTCCGCCTTAATTTTTCTTCCCACAGGGGCGAAGACTTTAGAGTTCAGATACTGGAGGGATTTGGACTCGGCAGCTGAGCCAGCAGGGAAAATGGGAAATGTTAACTCAACTACGGTTAATTAAAAAAATTTGATGCCTATTCATCTATTGTTTGCATCTACTTTTTATGATCAAACTACGTCGCTTCGTCGAATTTTGCTCTTAATTTGTAAAATAAACCAAACACGTGCAAATTACGTATCAAACCATTTTTTATCACAATCCAGCTACTCAACTAACTAATTAGTATACTCGTAGTCATTTCGTCGAATTTTACTATTAATTTACGAAATAAACAAAACACGTGCAATTTTCATGTCAAAATCTAAGGGTAAATATATTCATTGAACTTCTCAATCAAAACCTAAAAACTCCGGTGGCCACAGACTAATTCATTCATACATTTTTTACCACTCAAATATTTGTTGTTTCAATATAATCATTGATAGAGGTGTAAATAAATCTAATCAAGGCAAACGCCCTTGTGTTCACATTTGTTTGATTATTTTAATGACCTTAAAATTTTGTTCAAGTTTGGTTTTTTTTTTCAACAAGCTCTTTATCAATTTGAATGTTATCAAATATAAAACGTTGTTCAAATTTGACTTGATTAGTTACTAAACAAATTTAAACGTGTTCTTACCAAATCGAATTCGATTTGAGTATCAAATAATTTAATTCATTTTTCAACCCTAATCACTAAATTCTTAATTAAGGGAGCCAAATAGGGATGGCAATGGGGGCGGGTGACTGCTGGCACCTGCCCTGCGGGGGCTAATGGGGAGGGGGTTGGGGCGGGGGCGGGGGCGGGGGAGTGTACCCTCGCCCCGCTACTCGCTTTAAAAAAATAAATAAATAAAATATATATGTATATAATTATATATATATAATTTAATTTAATTAGTTACAAACTTATGATAATGATATTATTAGTTATATGTATTATATAATGTCTATTAGTATATATAATATAATTGATATTATTAATCATACTAATAATTATATATGTGTACTAACAAATTATTAATTGGTTATACTAAATTTACTAATACATTTATACTAAATCCCTAATTACACTTAATACAATAACATTTTTTTCTTAAAAAAAGCACAAGCACAATAATGAATTAGCGATTGTATTTGTGCAAAAAGTGAAAACTTGATTACTTTAGTTATATTTATTTCATCATGTTGGATTGTATTTAAATAATTTTTATTTGATTGTTTTGATAAGTTTCAATTGTAAAATTACAATGAATAATAATTTGATGATATGTTGATATTTTAGTACTTGATTATTTGTTAAAATTTAATAATAATAAAATTATATAACAAATTTTTATTAGCCTCACAGGGACACCCACGGGGGAAGCGGGGCGGGGCGGGGACGGGGCAGGGGAGCAGGGGACGGGGATGGGGCGGGGGGCAGGGGGAGTTTATAGGCAGTGGGGCGGGGGATGGGGGAGGGGTCCCCCGCCCCGTTGCCATCCCTAGAGCCAAAAGGTTTGCTTTCTAATCTAATCCTTATCCTTAATTAAGCTAATTTCTTGAAAAGTCTTTGAATTGCATTTGTCAGCATTAACTGTGATATGCTGTAATTTATAGCTAACTTTAAATGTGATGACGATTGACAAATTTTCTCTTAGAATTTTTTTTTAAAACCAAACACATATATAGTCACAAAGTATAAAAAAAACTAGATAAGTACATGTATTTCGCATTGTGCTTTGTTTGCGTTTTGACGGGTGAAAATTTGTACTTGAGAGCTTAGGGTTAAGGACTCGAGATGTGGGATTTTCGTGTTTTATTTATATTTCCCTCTGCCGAGGAGGGCATTTACTCAACTTTATGTTACTTATCTTGTTAACATAAATACCAAATGGCAATTTGAGTAAGATTAGGATAATTAACTGAAAGTTGTCACTAAAGGCAGGGCAACAATGAAAATTTCTGGGTTTCTTGATTCATCATGTGAACTCATGTTTTCTTTTCTCCAAATTTTGGATTGCGATTTTCTTCAGAAAAGTTGCTACATTTTCCGTGAACACATTTTTTTTATCACCTTTTCACCTCACATATATCAGATTGCTACAGCAATTTTTCTACAAAAAATCCTCCAGAAAAATGCAATCCAAAGGGGGCCTAAAGTAGTTTATGAATAAAAGTTATTATTCAAACTCATAGTAATATAGGTAAGATGATGATTGGAATGTAATATATTTTAGATGCCAATTTGAATAATTTCGGTAACTTTAGATAGCATATTGGAGAGTTATCCAATCGGTTAGGTTTAGAGTTTGGAATAAGAAAGATGTGGGGAAAGGAAAAGTAACTTTTGCCCCTAAAGGAAGGGTATTTTGATAATATTGGGTTTTACTCGTCTCCAATAACTTTTTTTTTAATGCAATTTTCAATTTCAAAATTTAGAAAGGTTGAACTCACATAAGTTTATTCTAAATTCATAAATTATTAATTGACAAGCCACTAATGTCTTTCTCTATTACAAGAATAATTTATGTAATTTTAAAATACTCTATTACACAGTAAGACAATAAAAAAAGGAACTTTTTTTAAATAAAAAAAAAAAGTAACCTCAATTCCCTCATTTTCCTTGTTTGGATTGCAATTCTTTTAAAAGAAAATTATATTTTTTTCTGAACACATTTTTTAATCACTTTTTTTTTATATCACATACATCAAATTGTTATAATATATATATATTTTTTTTTACAAAAACACTAAAAGATAGCAATCCAGATGGGATATGAAATTTCTATTTTGAGTAAAACTACCAAACAATAGAATGTCAATTAGGCTTCCTACTCAATAATTCTGCAGGAAAACTATTTGTCGGTTGTCACTCTTTGTCTCAAACATCAAAGAAATGTGACGGGTTGATCATCGTTAGACCGTTGCCGACAAAAAATATGCAACTCTTATTTTTATTCTTATATGAAGGGGGTTTTTTTTTTTTTTTTGAGGGTACTCTTATAAGAAGTTTATTTTCTCTTTTCTTTCGAATAAGTCGGTGCCCTTAAAACACAATCTTTTTTTTTTTGTTGGTTCCCTTAGAACACAATCTGAGAAAAGAATAAAAAAAAACAGGTAATAACGATCTCAAATCACTGTAATATTGCTGTTTTACCTTTGTTTTTTTTTTTTTTTCAATTGGAGGTATCTGGACCTACACCCGACTAGTCCCCCAATTTCGAGGAGAATGGGTCCCACTGATCCTCAGAAAATTACGTCGAATCCAGGCCGTCTCATCCTAAAGAGAGTTACACGACCACCCGAGCAACCCGTCGGGACTGTTTTGCCTTTGTTGGGTGTGTGTTTCGTTTGAAATCATCATGTTTTTGACTAAATTGATGCAGAATGCACACGTTTTTGGCATACTCTTCGAGAGAAGCATCAACTAATAAATAATTAGTGCTGCAAGGTAACAAGTTGGTGACGTGGTCCTCTACTTTCTTTTGTTGTTGGTTGGACGATTTTTGTGGTCGGGAATCGGGATAGCTTAGTTTGATGTAAACTCTACTTGTATGGTTAAACAATCTCATCACAGACCTGTGGCTTGAGGTCAACCGAAAGCGTCGTTGCCAACACAAGTTAACAATTGATGATAATGGCATATGCAGGAGGACACAAAGGCATATGCAAACTCACATCAAATTGCCTTCCAGAGACAAATGCAGCTGCATTGGCGAAGAAGGGCAGCAAACAGAATATTTCTTTTGGACGATATTAGGGGATCAGCATTGTCAAGGATGAATGTAACTAACAATTCTTAATTAGCATTGTGTGTTAGAACTTTACTGGGGCATAATAGAGAATAAAGCGTTATCTTTTTTTTTTTTTTTTTTTTTAAAGTTTGTGGACTACTTTTTTTAATAAAAGTTTATGAGACCGGCTTAGTAATAGAACTGCTATAGTTTGGTAGTGATTTTGGGCCATTTGTTTGTCATTATTGTTGATTTATTCTTGATTTTGATACAAAAAAGAAGTAACAAAAAAAAAAACGGATGATGTTAAAAATTATCAAAAAAATTCCTAGTTTAACGTTTGATTTGGATAGATATTAAGGATAACATTGATAATTCTTCTATGCTTCTAATCAAATATAAGAGAAATGAATGAGAAGGGAAAAGGAACAAAAAAATTATAAAATCCATCATTTGCATAAACATGGCAACAAGAGAGTTTTATTAAAATATTAAGGTTAGTATTATCATTTTAAATGGACAAGGGGGTAGGTGTAATTTTTAAAACCTTAGGGGAGCCAAGTGAAATTATCAAAAATCTCAGGAGAGGTTTCTGAAATTATCCCAAAATACTAGGAAACACAACAAGAATTGGCACAACTGTATCTATTTGTAATTCTTTGTTCACTAACTACACTAATGAGATCTACATTCCTGCTGTGGTTGCCCACTTTTGTTTCCTGCCCTCCACAAACAGAAAGGGGTAAACAAATGGGATATACTTGAAAAGTGAAAATGCCAAAGTTTGACATTAAAGAATGAGATGGGCTGTTCAAGAACGCAAAACATCTTGTTGGTTATACAGCTGCAGCTTTGAGGGATAGAAAATCTGAAATCTTGTTGGTGTAAAAATCTGGCTGTACGGAATTCTTTGGATCTTGGAGCATTGGCAAAGTTGTCACACCTAATACGCAGAATAAATGTCATTAAAGTCAGGTAAAACTCGTGGAACTCTGTTACTTCAGAATGGATTTCTAACTGCATGTGGTTACCTGAGAGGACTAGAAGAGTTTTGCACCCACCATTTTGCCCGAAAAGGATGTCAGTATCCAATCTGTCACCAACCATGCATATCTGGGACTTCAGGATGCCGAACCTATGGATGTTTGAGTTCGAGTTAATTCTTCTCTAACAGACGAATCAGCTGAATAATCTATGCTATCAAATTATTCAGTTGGGTGGTTTATAATGCAGCTCGATTTCTACATATACAGGAGATGCAAATGCATTCATCAAGGATACTGGCAGCTGTCAATTACCACTCTACAATCATAACCAGAAGGACGATAGACAAAACAAAAAAGGATGGAGAAAGAATGAGAGCATAATCCACCTAGGCATTTTCCCCCCAAACCATAAACCACATAAAAGACGAAGAGAGAAAACTGAAGGATGATAAGAAAAAAGGTTAGTAATCAGGAGAGGGTTTGGCATAATTCAGTTGGTCAAATGATTAGATATAATGTAATTTGCCATACAGCAGAGAGTGAAACCAGGGTTTAGCCACATACTTCTTTGCCAAGTAGTCCATCATGAATGTGGAAGGCTTCCCAACGACAAGGGGCTCGCGCTTAGTAGAACCCCAGATGGCTCCGACCATTGAACCGCCACCTGAATGCAAGAGAGGATGTATCAAAACTTTGGCATGATATATGTTTGTAGTGTAATGATGCTAGGTTACCAAGAATAATGATGTTGTTAATGGCCACATAATACTGATTAACAGGATAGATTTGCACAGCATAATTCCTCTTCAAATTCCTCAAGATTCTACAATGCGATTTGTCACATAAATTCTTTTAAGACATTCCACAGGCTTGTGACTCAAAACTATATATGTGCTTTTATATTTTTTTCTTATGCACGTGCATGTTTGGCGTATAAGAGATCCCATATTTTCTCATTCTTCATTTAATTTAGTCAGGTGTGTCAAAAAAAATTTACTTGATGTCATACTATCAGTCCTTCAGATCTGTTAGCAAGGTATTTTAAAAATTAGTTAGCCTATCTTATTAAGTGGCTTTTAGATAAATGGAATAAGATCAGGACAACAAATTTTTGGCCAAAAGCTTGTACAAATCTTTCACAGATAACACATGAATGTTAAGGAAAGCTTTTCCAGCCAGATACAAATCACAGTGCCTACTTAGCGTTTGACTAAGTTCATGCATCAGAAGTTGATAGAGTTTTGAGACTCCACAAGAATAGCCACTTTACCCCCAAAAAAGACACATCTTGACGACAGAATTTTGCAATTTCAAGCTTTAGTTAAAGGTGGAAACTGTTTCATTCCCTAGAGCATCAATTTGATGCTCCATGGTTATTCTGCACAGTATTGACTTAAATTATCTTCAAGTAGTAAATATGGATACGAAAGAGAAGAAAAATCATTCAGTCAGAAAGAAGTAAACCTGCCCATTCCTGAGCATCTGTTAGATGAGTGACAGCATCACGGTTGGTGGCAATGAACAGACATCCTGGGTTTTCACGTATACATAGGGTTGCGTACCTTCATTTGAGTGGTGATCAGTTATAGGACAATCAGCATATATTAGAAAAGAATAGATACCCGAATCAAAGATAGACTTCTCTCTTGCTTCAATTTGTCTGAGTCTGCGTATATTTTAATCTCTTGCTTCAATTTGTCCAAGTCTGTGTATATTTTAATGGTTTTCTCTGCATGTCTAGAGTTTTTATCTGTAGGAGTGGCTGAAGTGTTCATATTTGAGGGTGAGAGGGGAGAAGGAAAGAGTTTCATTCAAGTTCTAATTTACTAAACTGATGAGAAATGCTAAACAATGAAGAGAAAGCCGCAAAATTTAAAGAACTTACTGAACTTTGTAATAGTTGAAATAGCGATCAAATCCAACGACGACTGCCCCAACCTGAACGAAAAGATAAAACATCTTTAATGTAAAAGGGAACGGGAAATATCCCAACATGAAATTATACAGAAACTCTTTGGCTAACATTAAGCTGAATACTAATACACATGGTATAAATGGTAACACTAAAAGCAGAAACTTTTTTTTGGCTAAGGAGGAGAAAGTAGGACTATACATCCTTGTCATGCTCCATCATGAACCCGGGCTTGAGCTCTATCTTTTTTTCACCATCTTCCTGAGGAAACACAAAAGATCCAAAATAAGCATGGATGGGAACTTCAAGCTACAGAGTAGATCGTTTTTGTTCTTATAAACTATGAGATGTAAACATTTGAAAGAGAAAATCAAACATGAAAAACTTGAGCAACTAATGGTTATAATCGCTGCAATTATCTTCTGATATAGCAGGAAAACACTAGTCAGGTATTTCATGGACAGCAGAATCTAACAGATTCATCACTCTTTGGAGAGAATATTATTACTTTACAGTGCAAAACCGGCCTTTAGATTTCATGTAACTGCACAAACTGCTCTCTAAGAATTCAAAGGCATACTTGTACAAGCTTCTCTTAAGCTAAGGTCCAAATATGTATTTGTGGTTTGAAAAATAAAGAAAATGACTTGGTGATTGAAATGACCTCAGCAATGTCATTGACATAACTAGATGGAGTCATATGCCTTCACACAATCATTTGATGACAATTGAGGAAATATTGGAAAGTAGGGGTGAAATTCAAGCTTTTCAATTCTTGAGTTTCATGCTTTGATTCTCATGATTGACTCTTGATGACTTTGCCTTGATTTAGTTACGCATTGTATAATGTTAGGCTACAGTCAAATTATCAAGCAACTTCAATCACAGAAAACCCTCAACTGTTTCAGGCTGCATATTCTCTGACCCATCTAAAGCATTTCAAGCTGTCAAAATGCCTACTTCGAAATGGACCCAGGAGTGGTTGTGTATTATAAGCAAAATAGATACCAATAAGTGACTTCTCAGGGCAGAAATTGGGTACCAAATGTTCCATATTCATAAAAAAACTAAACCAGTATTCCATTTCCCTGCAGGCTTCAGGTTCATTACTGAAGAAGGACTGCAAAGGAAGAAGAAAGCAGTTGTGCTGCACTTGCCTTTTTCTCTTTGAGCACTTCTAACCCTCTATTTAGTTCTTCTTGTTCTTTCTACTGATAAATTTCTTTTCTACCTACATATACACAACTTTTCAGAACATGATTCGGGAAATGATTTTTACAGAACCTAAAATGTCTTAACAAACAGAAGCATTTTAGAATTAAATCTACATAGCTCTACCCAATCTCTGACTTTTAGCATATAACATGCAATATCAATTTTGAGAGTACAACTAAACCTCCATTTACCTAACTGTTAAAAAGAATAGGGTAAAAGATAACACAATCTTCTAAACTCTGTACAGATTACTGAGACTTTGAGAAGTTTGCGAGGCCATCTAATCATGGAAAATACACATACCGGGCCTCCAAGATACTGAATCCCAGCTAACTCAAGCTCTTTTAAGATTCCATCTTCACCTATAACATATACCTTGAAAATATGCAACAAAAGGTCATTAAAGATTCCATGACAATAACAGCTTTGCATGACAAAAGAAAAACCCAGATTGGATTTCACAACAACAATGAACTTATTCTAGAAGTTCCACTGAAGCTGGTGATATCCATAAATGTGAAGGCTAATGAATACCAGGAAACCAAGCTATCACAGAAAAAGACTACCAGATCATAAAACATAAGGCTAGTGTTCTTAAGATACAAGCAAGTTCTTCATAAGTTACAGAACTTAATTTCTTTGTTGTTCTTCCAGGAGATCGTGATATGTAATTGTTTAAGTAAAGACCAACGCTACAATTCAACAAAGTGAATGGTTAGACATTCCTGTTATCCACCTTGAGATTTTGGGGATAAAAAGCATATCATATTGCTACAGGTGATGGACAAACAGACAGAAACATGAATAGCTACTGTGGAATATAAGGATGCTATAGGAACTGCCTCTTACTAAATTACTTATAAAAAAAAATCAACTTTTAGATAAAAATATTAGCAAGAGAGCGCACGTGAATCCAGATAATGGACCAGATTGGCTGTTAGCCATTTCTTTTTCTCTCCACACATTCTTTTGCGAAGTAGAGGCTACTTCCCACACCCCCACCCCAGATCAACTGATGAACAAGCTCCTTTGGTCAAAGGCATCAAAAGGTGATACTGGTCTATTTTTGAGCAAAACATTTTGATATTGGGCTTGGTCATGTAACACCACTCCTATAAGCTTTATTCCAGGTATTCCTACATCAATAATGTCAACCAATTAGCAGTATTACGAATCAACTGCATAAGAAAAAACCATCCTTGAGCACTCTTCCCATTGTGCTAGGAGAAAGAGACCTCTAAATTTGTACGAGTCTTATTGTGATCTGCTGATCTTTTCTTGTTCTTAGCTGATATGGCCCCTGGACACTTGTTTTGGTCATCTTGACCAGACTATACATAGATTCTCTTTTGTATGCAATTAACTTGTGGTGGCTTCTTCTTGAATTATTTTCTGGTTTTCAAAAAAACACTAACATAATAACTGCAGTGTGCATTTTCGAACTTCTTGCATGCTGGGCATTGATCAAGAAATTCCCTTAAAAGACGATGTTGTCATACTCTTTAGATGCAGAAAAGACAGCATCATCATTGCAGAAATGAACCAGTATTATACCAGTATTATCCATTGAGTAATAGAATGATGCTTGCTGCATACCTTTTTGTCTTTTGGGAATTCAATCGAATTCAAGTAAGCAGCAGCAGCAAAAGATGATGCAAAAATCTCCTCCTGAGAAGTGCTTGCTCTGAGTGTGGATGCCACAATTGCCAGAATTCAGAAAGAGAAGAGAAGACTAACCTCACTGACACTCAGACCAAGAGTTTCAAACTTTTTACCATATTGTTTTCTAGACTTCGTTGAGTTATTGGTAACAAAGACCAATCTCTTTCCCTGAAAAAAGCAGGACATGAAAATGGTTCTCAACCCATGACAAAAAAGAACATGGACTTGCATTTCATCCTAAAAACTAATTAGATAACTGTAAAAGAAATTAAGTGCTGTTTGACTGACACTTTCATCACAAGGCTACATAACAGTAAAGAAACAAAATCGAATAATACAAACCTTTGAGCGAAACAGGTCAAGAGTCTCTGGGACCCCATCAATCAATTTATCCCCCTTCCAGATAACACCTACAAAATTCAAACAGTAAGCATTTCTTGAACCGTAAGGACCACCCTCCTACAACAAAATGAATGCCTTTAATCGGTCACTCATTCTCATACTTCATGTGAAACATTCCAGCAAATTCATCTCTATTTCGAAAACTTTCACAGTGCAGGTTCATTCATAAAAGAAGATGTAGTTTCGGAGTCCGCTTCTTCATTCAACTACTAATCTGTGAAAATACAGATAACCTTTCCACCCCTTCACTCTACTAGATGTAATGTTAATCAAGTAAAACACAAACAGAAGTAACATTTTTTGCTGTAATTAAAGCGACAAATAGGTACAGTTTATGCCCTTATTCGTTCTAGCAAAAGAAAAAAAAAACTGATTTGTGCGTGTATCTCATTCTTTAAACGAAATAGCAGTCCAAATTCCAATTATTTCATCATACAACAAAATTTTGACTAATTCAGACAACTAAAAGCAGTGACACGCCAATGAATTGAGGACAACTGAATTCACCATCAAGAAAAGATAAAAATTTGGCTTGATCAGAGCCCATTACAAATTGATGAACAGTAAAGAGGTCTCGAATCCCATTTACAATCCGGAAAAGAATTGACCATCAACTTTCTTACCAGAAGCAGCAAAAATACATAAAATGAGATGATAAAGCATCTGTAAAGATGATACCGTCACAATCAAAGATGAAGGTTTCAACAGAATCAATGAGTTCATCGGGATTCTTGAGGGGTTGTGCAGAGGCCCGAGTGACCAGTCTTGAAGTAGAGTTCTCCATTCTTGAATTCCTATGATTCCATCTAATGGGCCTCAAAGAATTGTTGTATAATGGGTTTGGAATGTACGTGAAATTCTTGCAGAGCAGGTGTTTAGAGCTTGAAAAAAGAGCAGTTGAAGAAGAAACTGCTGCTACTCTACAGCTGCTGCTGCTGCTGAGCATTGTCTTGTGTTTCTCTGTTTTCGATCAGTTATTATCGTTCGAAGGCGTGCTGGCTGGAAAGTGTCCTGATTACGGGGAGGGGGTTCGTTGGACTTGAGGTCATTAGTTGTTGGGTACTGATGTGGCAAATTGAGTGGATGGTTCTTGGTTTATCCAATTTAAGAAAATGGTAGGTTGAGAAGTTTGTAGCATGGGAGAAACTACTAGCATATATGTATATGTTTGGGAATTGTAAGCAAGGAACCACGTAATCTTTGACTTTTTTCTTTTTCTTTCCTTCCTCTTCTTCTTCTTTTCTTTTTTGTTAGTACATTTTTAGTTTGAAAGATTTTTTTTTCCCGGTTCAAGGACACTCTAAAACTTACAAAAAAGAAATAAAAGGGATTAGAAGTCGAAACAAGAATATCACTTGCTATCTAGTAGGTTGGAGGTCCTGATCCAGTGATTAAGATTGAAACCTCATAAAAAAAAGAAATATTAACTCAAATTTCCAACACCCTTCTTGCAACTTAAAATCCTTCCCGTCATTGAATTTTTTTTTAAAAAAGATCTGATAATATTTGTAGCTCTTGGATTTGACTTTGAGGGCGTATTGATATTTATATACAAATTTAATTTTGAATAATTTAGAAAATGTTTTAGGGTAAGAGCTAGTCAGTTAGTTTGTCTTTCTTTATTGGAAAATAAGTAAAGTAAAAAATATAAGTCCAGTATGAAATAATTTTTTATTCTTTTCTAAAACTACGGAATTTTTTTGACTTTTTTCTTAAAACTACTGAGCTTTGGTTTACAAGTGAAACAAATTTTTAAAATTTGGGAATACACTTTTATGCTTTCAAGGATTCTCATTCATAAATTAGTATAAGATGAAGAATTTTCATAAATTTGAGCTTAGTATTTTGAAAGCAATAGAGTCTTGTCCAAGTAAGAGATGAAACTATTACTTGCCTAGTGAGGTAATTGTACTTGAATTTTTTCTGTTTGGCTTAGTTACCTTGCTAAATGGTGAGTCAGAGGATTTTAACATAATATTAGGGTTAATTATATTTACCTCCCCTGAGATTTGATCATATTACCAATCAATCCCTATAATTTGTCCAAATAACGATTTTACCCTTTGAATGATCAAACATTTAACAAAAACCCCCTTAATGCCGAAAATGCCCTTTTTGAGGCCATATTGCATTAAAAAAAGAACATATTTTTATTTATTAACCTTCAAATAATCCAAAAAAATAGAAAAAAGTTTTTGCTTATTATTTTATAAAAACCATATCTTTACTTCCATAAATAGTTTTGAATCAATAATTATTTTAAATCTTAAAAATAAATATTAAAAATTAGATAAATTGAAAGAAAAATAAAAAAGAAGCAATTATTTTAAATCCTCAAGTATGGTTCGAATTTGTGGTTCAACGCATGTTGAGAAGAGTACAAGGCATATTTTCCTGAATTTGAACCATACTTCAGAAATTAAAATAATTTCTTCCTTTTTTATTTTTCTTTCAATTTATCTAATTTTTAATATTCATTTTTAAGATTTAAAATAATTATTGATTCAAAACTATTTATGGAAGCAAATATATGGTTTTTATAAAATAATAAGCAAAAACTTTTTCTACTTTTTTGGATTGCTTCAGGATTAATAAAATAAAAATATATTCTTTTTTTAATACAACATGGCCTCAATAAGGGCATGTTCGGCATTAAGGGGGTTTTTGTTAAATGTTTGATCATTCAAAGGGTGAGACCGTTATTTGGACAAATTACAAGGATTGATTGGTAATATGGTCAAATCTCAGAAGAGTAAATATAATTAACCCATAATATTATTCATTGACCCTTAAAAATTGAAAAGAGGAGACAAAGAAACTCACTCGTAAAATGATAAACTACTAATTGGCACTTCTTTCATCTCTTAAATTTTTTGTCTACTAAAGTCTACCTCAAACACAAATGCTTTTGCATTTACCATCAATTGAAATGGAACTTCCTAAATTTTTTGAACAAAAAATTTTTTTTTCTTCCCAACACAATAAGTTCTATTTTGCTTGATTATGTCAATTAGGGTTTTTAGTTTGATAATTTTTTTGTTAGGAATTTTAGTGACATTTGTGTGCCACTATTGGGCAGGGCAATGGTGTTTTTTTCGCCTCTGAAATTAGCATCAAGAATCTAAGTAGGGATGGCAATGGGACGGGGGTGGGGCAGGGGATCCTTCCCCTATCCCCTGTCCCGTTGTCAAATAATTCCCTCCGTCCCCCGCCCCTTGCCCCCCACCCCGCCCCGCCTTGCCCCTGCCCTGTTTCCTCCATGGTCTCCCGTTTCCATGTCAGATTAACTCTTTTTTTTGTATAATACTAAAATGTTAAATCATTTAATTGCTGTAAAATGAGTATTAGTATATAAGATGCCAGAGATTCATATCCAAAGCCCCAGCATAGATTTATAGCAACATAGAGTTTTTCCTATTAAGTAATAGCATTCACGGTCTCCTGAACTAATTAGCTAAAGATGACCCGTCCATAATAAGTTATATCGATAGCTATCTAAAAAGATTTAACAATTCAGAATTCAACAAATTAAAAACACTCAACAATAAATCCAACTTTTCTCTTCATTAATACAACTCAACAATTTCAAAACATTTGCTCTTCATCAACTTTGAGATATGATAACTCACTTGATAAAGTAACCCTGACATTCATGGCGTGATTGTTATTGATTGAACACATAATTGTGCAATTCTTGTTTGCCATCATTTTTTTTACTACCACTTCGAAGTAACATTTGCCTAATATCTTGTTTAGGCCTTTTAGCACACCGTCTGTAATGATCATGCAATGTACTGGTTCCATGAGTGCTACCTATCTTGTATTTCTTTTCACGATACTTGCACGCACCATAAAAAATGACATCTTCACCTTTCTCTCTATTAAAATGTGCCCAAACTTTCGATTTTAATTTTTTTCCTTCTTCAATTTCATATTCATCTTCTTCTACTGCATCTGTCAAGTAAATTGATTCAACATTCATTGATTGTGAAGTTGATGAATTATCCCCCTGTTCAGATGCAATTACATTTTCGAATTGGTTCATTGTGATAAGAAATCTACAAAGACAAAAAACAAATAGCACAATAAATGGATTGATCACAAAAAAAGCAAATAGCACAATAAATCAAACTCCATCAGCTAGAGTTCTCAATCTACCCATAAAAAAATGCTCAAAATGAACCAATCCAACTCAAAGGAAAAGACCAGAAACAACGGAATGATTTTGTGAGATGACGGAAATCAGCTGAAAAATCAAACAACAAAACTACAATTGGCAGTTCTTAATCTCCAGCAACCTAAACGTGAAGTATTAGAAAAACGAAAGTAAGTTTTAAGTGCCACGACCCATGGCAAAGGAAAGAGACATCTAAAGGAATTGACAAAAATTGACAAAAATGGAATCTTAAACTTTAAGCACCACGGCAAAGGGATTGACACAGATGCAATCATTTATTCACCACGTGTGCTTCATTAATCTATCAAGATAAGAATAATAAGGGAGCAAACCTAAAAAGGATTCAAGAGTGGATGAAAGCAAAGCGTGAAGAAGAACACAGAACAAAGAGGGTGGAAGATCCAGACTGTACAGCAGTAGGCAGATGACATGAAAGAGCAGCTTTAGAAAATTTAGTGTTGTTTTATGTGTGTGTGTGTGTGTGTGTGTATATATATATATATTTTTGTCGGGGATGGGACGAGGAATGAGGCGGGTGTATGTTGCCCCATCCCCCGCCCCATTTTAAGGCAGGGGGAAATATTTTACTCCCACCCCATTTTTAATCCCGTGGGCAGCCGCACCCGTTGCCATCCCTAAATCTAAGGCGTTGTAGCAAAAAAGTGACTTGTGACGGATGTTAGGACTAAAATTGCAGTATATTGAAGTTGAGGACTCAAAATGAAACAAACTCAAAGTACGAGGACTATGTGTGCAATTTACCCTTTTGCGTTTTATTCCAATCCTGCTTTGCATGCTGTTCGCTGTATACTAGACTAGTCTCACTGCTTATCAAATTCACTGGGAAATTCACCGGCTCTTTTTGGCCCTTTTCGCACCACCACCATCACCACCGTCACCGCCGCCACAGACAACCACCTCCTCCGGAACAAAAGTTCAATAGTTCCACCTAATTCACTAGCCCTACTGCCCACATAGCGACGCTGCCTCCGTAGTCCCTCCGACATGCCGGACCCAATCCCCAACTCCAATAACCAAAATAACCGCCCCTCTTCATCTTCCTCCGGGCCATCACCTATGGAAATCGACGGGTACGAAGAGGACTTAATGTTATCGAAGTCCGAGTTCTTGACCCGGTACGAGGTATTAAAACGCCGGTCGCGTCGGCTCAAGCAACTCGCGAAAATCTATAGGGACCATTACTGGGCACTGATGGAGGATTTGAAGCTCAAGTATAGAGAGTACTATTGGGAGTATGGTAAAAGCCCTTTTCAAGAAGATGATGAGAATAATAACAATTTGGTTAGTAGTAATGGCAGTAATCATAATAATGTGAATATTAAGGGAGAAAATGGGGAGGCGAATATACAAGGAAACGCAGATAATTGTCATGGAAACGTTGGCGGAAGTAGGATTTATGGAAATAGGTGTGGAGTTCATGGCTGTAAATCGAAGGCTATGGCGTTAACGAGGTTCTGCCAGATGCATATTCTGTCTGATAACAAACAGAAGCTCTACAAGGCCTGCAATTATGCTATTAAAAGGTTCGCATTTCATTCTCTCATTTTATGTCGCAAATTGTATGTCTGTATACATGGTTGTGTTGAGATGTCATAATCGTTTTGTTTGCTGTATTGTACATGTGATCGTCTGTGCATTGCCAGAGTTTGTTATGGTGGTGCTTTTAGCTAAGGTTTTATGCATAGTAGTAGGGTGTGATTTTTGGAATGCTGTAACTGGAAAATTCAATTTCTGTGTGATAGAGATCCCTTCTTGTAGAGTTATGTCTGTAAGTGGGTTCTGCATGCTTAGCCAAACGAGTTGTTTTTCTGAATGGGGGTTGATCTCTTTAGCAAGTGATAATGGATTTGGCCTTTTAGGATACAAAAAAATAAAACTTGTAAGTTCTGGTGCACCTTGGCTTTGCTTTGTCATTTGTAGTAGGATGTTTTATTATTGTTGTGCAGCATTGGCTCTTCAGTTGGTCCTCTTACTCACTAGTGTTATCTTCAATTTCCATTGCTATTTGGGGTTCCCATGTTATTGATTTTTTTCATTATGTTCCTTTCTTTGTTTGCTTCTATAAGAAACATATGCCAAACGTGATCATCATGGTATTGTGACATTGTATATTGCTAATAATAGCATATAAAATTTCCCATTTAATGAAAGAATTTAACATGGAGCTATTATCTTCAAATCGATTAGCTTCCTTATTTAAGAGGTCTATATGTCTGGCTATGGCAAAACAGAAAAATTTGCCCCGTAGATGAAGATTTTGCTTCATGAAGGATACAAGTTTTACAGAGGAACAACATAAAAAGATGGAAGAAGGGAGTGTGAAACTGAATTTGATGCTTTCTCTTTCTAAGTTGTCCCTAGTTGCCAGTATCAGGCACAGGTTCAGGGTATGGAATTCAAGTGTTTAGAGAGAGCCCAACAGGGGATTTGTAGAATTGATACTTTTGTCTCATCCTTGGAGTAGTCTTTAGCATAGAATTCCCACAGTGCAATAGTGGACCAATATTGTATGGCACATTTCTTAGATTTTTGAGGGGGTGATTGGCATGCGATAAAAGCGGGCATGTAAAAACTATGCTATGTCTTTTGGGTGAGGAACTTCTGCAAGACATAATGGTGTTTCCTAGGAATCTTGGGACAGGTGGGAATTGTTGAATTCCTTCATCAGAATGGGAATAAAGGCATAACCATCAGCTTAGAAGAAGAAAGCATGGCTGGAAAAATTAAAATGTGGATGGACTGGAAAAAAAATCTTGGCTTGGTATTCCAGTATTCTTGTCATTCAATAGGAATGCAATTTTCTTAGAGAGAATCACAGTTAGGTTGTGACTTGAGGAGTTCAAGAGGTTTTTTCATGAACAGCATTTGAGGTTTTTGGCTTTTGTTAATAACTAGGTTCTACCATACTTGCTAATGAAACCCACCGGTTGTGCTTATGTAAACATTTTCCCTTTTCTCGTTATTTAGTTGTTAATTTTTTTATTTGGCTAGTGCAAGTGCGTTTCTTCAACGCCTGTTGAGTACTTGTAAAGACCTGAAAACAATGTTTTTCTTTTTGAAAAGAAGATTTCTAGACCTCGCCTCAATGCTGGAGCTAGTGCTGGCCTCTCCGGCCTACTGTGGGGTTAGGATGAGTGGATAAATCAACCAGGGGATTGATGCTATCAAATACGGTCTTCGGTGGGTTTGTTGAAGTAAAGTGGCAATTTTTTCCATGCTTGAACTACGGGACAGACAGACTACTGGAATAAAGGCTGCCTTTTTCTCTGGGTTGCTCAGAAAAATGTTCTCATAGACTAGATTGAGGAGTAAGGAAAGGGCTTCCATGTTTTAGTTTTTTCCTGGAGACATTCTAAAATTTTGATTTGCTGTAGTATTATATAGTGTTTTTATTCTGTAGTCCTAGAGTAGATCCACAGAAAGCTCAATTTACAATGCCTTTTCCCCCGTATGCATGTGTATCTTAAGTTTTGATGGGTCTTTGACTGTAGTTCTATGTCCTTTTTGGGTGTTTAAATGCCTCGTTTTGCCCTGCCCCCCCTCCTTTTTTCTTTGAGGTACAAAAAGGGATTGGTAAGTTATGAGATGCTTCGCAGCTATTGATGGGCAACATTGAGTTTGTGTTAAACCTTTTGGGGCATAACTTTTGGTGAAGTAGCTATTGTTGCTGTGGATGTTCCACCCGTTCTATGGTGTTTTAAGGAGTCTTGAACTGTTGACATTGTGGGACTAGTTCATTATTATGCTAACGCAACATCAGTTCTTCATTAGTACCTTATTTTGCCTTATTATAGTGAGTTATCAGGCTGATGCTTCCAGATCTACAGGATCATCATTTGAAGCCTTTCTGGTATTTAGAGACCCTAAAAAACCTTAAATTGTTGTATCATAATTCAAAGTGCTCTTGTATTTTGACTCGAGGAATAAAATTTACTTGTAATTTTTCCTTGGTCCATGGGGTTTAGAGCCTTTTCATCTGCATTGTACACTCAAACCAACCTTAAAATGGTCTGAGGTTTGCAAATCAAATCATAACAGGTTTCTGTTGAGGCCTCTCTTTCTGTCTGTGAGGATTGTTTTCATGGTTGCAATAGTATCTGTAATTTTGATTTTCTTCTATATAGTATCCTGTGGTGGAACAGTATATGCTGTCCAACTGTATTTTGACTGGGACTTCTATGTAATGACTTCTGTAATGCTCTGGAAATAGTGGTGTTTCATGTATCACAGTTCAAATTAAAATCTAATACAAATTAAAGAGGTTGTAGTTGTGACTCAGTACCGTAGTTGTCGGAAGTGGTCGGAGACTCATAGCAGCTTATTTATGCTGAAGCATACAAGAAAAAGGGATGGAACTGACATAGAGGTTATACATGTCTGTTTCCTCACAGGAAGAGCTTTCCAGGGATAAGGTGTTGAATTGAATATCCATTTAGGTTAAGGGGGTGCCGTTGATTATTCCCATCCCCCTCCCTGGGTTTTGGTTTTTCTTTCATTTATTCTCAGAAACTGTGAAAACATGAAAATATATTATTCTCTTGGGTTCTTTCTGTATAAAAGGAAAACCTGTTTTGTGGGGGTTCTTTTTGTATAAAAGGAAAACCTGTTTTGTGGAGGTACTTTTTTGGCTTATTTTTTAGGCCTCGAATTTTATGGTGTTTGCTCATGTCTTGTGCAATAAAAAGGGAAAAACAAGAGTAAATAACATGGCTTCCAAATTACTCCCAACTAACCTGTGGCTGACTCCTTTAAAACCCTTTTTTTGGGGGGGGGGGTGCGGATTTTTCTATAGGATCAAGGAATTTATCTTATTGTAGCATGAGACGTCAGTCCCTTTATGCACCTAGCTAGCTTTTATTGCTGCATGAGCCTGCCTGTGCATCAAGCATAATGAACTTGGCCACCTTTGAAATTCAACTCCAACTTCAGTGCTAGTGGCTTTGCCTCATATTTTCCAGAAGACTGCCCCCCAGGTTGTTGCAATTTATAACCAGAACCACCTTCCCAGCAGAGGTTACAGCATCCACTCCGTTCCAATTTTTCTACCCTGTGCATCTGTTGTACTGTAGGACTAAACAGTTAAGAGTTTTGATTTGTTAGCATGGATAGCTGGTTTAATTTTAAGCAATCATGATGTTGATTTGAGTGAATTCTTTTGGTTTTTGGGTGGTTTGGTGTTCCTTGTTCTTGGATTGATTGGAGTTCAATTGAAAGCTATGCTTAGACTGAATATAGTATCTTCATCTTATTGGAGAGACGAAAATTATTTGTGAACTTCCACTCTTATTTTAGATGGGAAAAGGAATGCTTAAAATTTGACAAAGAACATATAGTGTTCCTCTCTTTTGCCTAGTTAGTGCCTTGGGGAGATAAAATTGTCTACTATTTATTTCTTTAAAGGACTATCTCCTGCGTTTTCTGTGATGAAAATTTTCAGTTGAAATGATTTAGTTAACAATTCATATTAGATTGGGGCCACAGGTGCAAAACTTGTTCGATTATTTAGTTTTCATGCTGCCTTGTTTACTTTGTCCTCTTCTGTTGCAACCATTTCACTAGTTTTAGATAGCTTCCTGTGTGATTTTAATGCATATTGCTACAGTTAAACCAAGAATTCTCTGTCTAAGCACTTGCTGCAAGAGCTGATATGATTTTCTCGATTCTTGTGTTACTTCTCTTCCTTGGGAAAAATGAACTTAAAAGTTTTGTTCTGTAATTTTGTTTTTACAGTCCACCAACAGGACCGATCCTCTGTGGAAAGCCAATCCTGAGGTCCACTGTCCCTTCTTACTGCGCTCTTCATTTCCAGAAGGCTGAAAAGCACGTGGCAAGGGCTCTTAAGAAGGCTGGTCTTAATGTCTCTTCTACAAGCAAGCTTGCTCCCAAGTTCCATGTTGTAGTTGCAGAATACACCCGCCAGATTCAAAATAAAAGAAGAGCTGCCCAAAAGGCTCTTTCAGAAAATGCTGACATGAAGGAGGATATAAGCTGTTAATACTTTAGGTCATGCAGAGATGTTTTCCTTTGAACAGATGTTATATAAATCGTTTGGATGGTTGAAAGTCGGGCTAAATCCCCTATTTCATGTTTGACGCTTGGCTATGAAGTTCTGGATCTGAAATTTTTTTTCTACCAGATGGATGGTTTGAACTCTAGCAGCAGTATAGCATAAATATAATTGTCGTGTTTGTTGATCAAGGAATTTATCAAAAATTTTTAGTGCGTTTGGTTTGGAAGAGCACACCCCTCCTCTATTAAGTGCAACAAAGCGATTCTTTCTCGTCATAGTCTTTAGGGATGTAATCGAGTCAAATCGAACTCGAGTATGACATGCAAGAAGGGTGTTCGAGGGAGTAGTATTATTGGTACTTGAGTTCGAGATTGATGCTTGCTCACAGAACTCGAGCTCGACTCTCACATGGGTTCAAGTCAATGCGAGCCTTATCAAGATCGATCGAACTCGAGTTGGAAAATTTCATTTTTTTTTTATAATTTTTGAGTGAAAGATGTTATTGCCCTTTACAATTTGTTATACGATCTAAAACATTTTTTAAATTCAATAAATTTTTTAAGTATAAGAGTAATTTTATAATAATAATATATTAAAAAATTAAAATTAAAAAATTCTATAAGACTCGATGAGCTTTCGAGTATTGTTTTTGGATACTCAAACTCGACTCGCTTGTTTTATCGAGACATTGAAACTCGGTCAATCCGAGTTCAAGTTAAATTTTTGATCGCACTGTTCGCGAGCTACTCGAAAGCAACTCCATTCAATTACAGTCCTAATCTGTACATCGGGAAGTAAATATTATGTGGAGTTATTTGGTAACAGGTCTAGTTAGTGTTTACTTGTGACCAAGTCAACCCTTCGTCTCTGAAGCATCGAAATGTGAGCTTGCTACTGATTGATCTTCTGTTCAATTGGGAAATAAATGGCTTCCTGCATACATGTTGATGAGGTTGAAACTTGATAGGAATGGGCAATTTCATGTATCAAAGGAATGGGCCAGCCACCGTAAGGAGTACAATACCTGTCGGAATGAACCCTTAAAATACTGCGCCAGTAAGCTGTAGCATGAGATGTGATCCAGCTCTCCTGTCTCTTTTAAGACTGGACTGGCAAGGGTGCAGGTGCAGAGAAAACTGGAAACTATGAAGGAGAGATTTGAGATCGTCCCCACTGACCAGGCTGTTGACAATTGCAGCCGGGCATTAAAAATGGAGTTAAAGAGCCTATATAGTAGCAATGGGATGAAGCATGGCGACAAAGTAGCCACAGGGTATCGGCCTTCTTGACTTGACGCTTGCCCCCACCTCTGCAACAATGCAGCTGGATCAGTACGGCTACCATTTATCACCAAATCTTTCCGGAGTCGGTAGTCAAAAGTGAAAGGCCTTCTTTACTCTGTGTCTTTCCTTTCTGCGAGTCTCATAGATTTCTTTTACGCCTCCTCAAGACTTCCTTTCAGTGGTCCTTCCCTCCTCTTATGTATTGGCAGCGGTATACACCAAAATCAAATGAATACAAAAAGTGTGTTTGGATTGTAAGTTATTTGTCTAAATATATTTATTTATATTATTATTATAATTTTTAATACATCTTTTTATCTTTTTAATTATCTTTTTATCTCACATATATCATATCACAAAAAATACTACAGTAAAAATATCTCAAATAACTTATAATTCAAACACACACAAAGTTTCTAAGCCTGAGGGTTGGCTGGGATAACTTCGGGATCGCCTAGTTAGGTTTTGAGGTTAAGTAATCGAATCATCTCTTTATTATTTGTGTATTTTTGGAGGGCTAGATGTACAAGCACAGGAAGATTAGTTCGGTAAAAACTTGGGATACTTCCTGTGGTGACGGAAAAAAAAGGGTTAATTCCACTTTGTCCTCCCAAACTTTGGACGATTACCCACTTAAGCCCCTAAACTTCAAAATGGGACACTTAAGTTCCTAAACTTATAAATACCTCCCATATAAGTCCCTAAACTTATAAAATGGGACATTTAAATCCCTAAACCCTTATAAAATGGGACACTTCGACCACCAACGGCATTCAGGATTTGTTAACAATTTTTCTTAAGTGGGAGATATTTATAAGTTTAGGGACTTAAGTGTCCCATTTTGAAGTTTAGGGACTGAAGTGGGTAATCGTCCAAAGTTTGGGGGGACAAAGTGGTATTAACCCGAAAAAAAAATGGATACAAAGTTTCTGATTTTTGTTCTTCCGTCCAATCACATTCAAGAGTTTTACTTTTCCATATCGGAGATCTGTCCATGAACATTGTTGGAATATATCATTTCTGGTGCTAAATTTAATTTATTCCTATTAATTAATGAACACTCATCCGGAATTTACGTTGTAGAAATGACTGAATAAACACTAGATTTGATCCTACTGGCAGTTCATTAACTGCTTTTTTTTCACATTAATTAATGAACAATTTTAAGCAGTGTTTCAATAATCTTTTCTTGCCATTGCTTTTAACGACTAAGGGTTTTTATCATTACACAGACTCTACGCCCTAAAAGGGTTATTCAACATACATTGCACGTCAAAAAGGATCAAAATTTTGGAAGCCAGAGTCTGTTGGTTTAGTGAGACCGGAAATTTAAGACCATGTGAGGAGGGAAGAATTGAGCACAAGTGGGATGCTGGAATTGATGGTGAAAGATGCTAAAAATAAATCTATTTTATGTTTTGGAATGCGTATTTTAATTAGCATTCACAAGTTGAAGCTAAGGCAAGATGTCCTCCTTGTTCACCATTAATGGTGGTAGTTTTCATCTTTATGGTGTCATTTCTGGCTTGTGAAGTTCTCATCTCATGAACACTTGGTCTACCATCAATCTATCAAGAAAAAGAAGAAGAAGAAGAAGAGGAAAAAAGGAAAAAAAAATTTACTTTAAATTTTTTTTTACAGAGATAAAAGATGGGATTTAAGAAGCGATGAACGAAGATTCAATCATTGCTATAACACATCACTGGGGGATGGTTTCTTTGATTGACAAACGTTTTGTTCTGCATATGGGCCTTCCATGAATCCAGGCCACAAGCATTTGGAGCTTCTATACAAGTTTTAACTATTTTATTTGGGTTATTCTTGTCATATCAAATCAATTATTCTTATCATAGTATCATTTTCTAAGTGCTTAATTAGGAATAGGGCCTAGATTTACAACCTATTAAAGGAAAGAACTGAGTATAGCTGCCGTGCTTTCTATTTAGGGTTTTCTATGGCATGATTGTAAATTTTGTGGTCAAGATGTAGGCACTGAAATGCGAAAGAAATGAGAAAAAAAAAAGAGAATACAATACAAATAATCTTTTCATCCCTAAACTTAGGATGCATTTGATGAAGTTGAAATTTGAATTCTAAAATTTGGAATCTAAAAAAATGAATCTTTTAAGTTATCGAACTGCTAATTACTGAAATCTTAATATTTGAATATATTTTATATTAAATGATAAGCAAACAATTTATCATTTATTTTTTTTAAATAAGTTTTGTCTAAACAATTCAGAGACACTTGATTAATTAAGATGTTCTATTTTTTTATTATCAAACATATCTGAACATATTATGGTCTGAATCTATTAAATTTGAGCGCTAAATTAGATTATCAAACAAGGTTCAGTAACACTAGCATTTTGTCTGCATGAGCTACCCTAGATTTTACCACCTTCAAGAAAAAAATTTTTTTTTGGATAAATTATAATTGCATTTATATCGCAGGAAATGTTTGGCAACTTCTGGGGCACATATTTTACGTTGTTAATGTCAAAACCCTATTCATATCTCTATTTATGGACTACGTAAAGGTCCTCATCTAGTCTATTCAACCTCTTAAATTTCTTGCATATGTGCCATAAAGTTGTTTGACTTGTGATTTGTCATGTAATTGCAACAACAAAGAAGACTAAAAAAAGTTTATTTGGTTGGATATCACTTGTATAACATGTTTTGCCTCCCACTTTTAAACAAGGGTTAATTACATTTACCTCCCCTAAGGTTTGACCATATTACCAATCAATTCCTGTAATTTATCCAAATAACGGTTCGAATTTGTGGTTCAAGGCATGTTGCGGAGAGCACAAGGCATGTTTTCCTCAATTTGAACCATACTCCAAGAATTAAAATAATTTCTTCTTTTTTTATTTTTCTTTCAATTTATCTAATTTTTAATATTCATTTTTAAGATTTAAAATAATTATTGATTCAAAACTATTTATGGAAGCAAAGATATGATTTTTATAAAATAATAAGCAAAAAAATTTTTCTATTTTTTTGGATTGCTTCAGGGTTAATAAAATAAAAATATGTTCTTTTTTTAATGCAACATGGCCTCAATAAGGGCATTTTCGGCATTAAGGGGTTTTTTGTTAAATGTTTGATCATTCAAAGGGTAAGACCGTTATTTGGACAAATTACAGAGATTGATTGGTAATATGGTCAAACTTTAGGGGAGGTAAATGTAATTAACCCAAACAAATCATCAAACCATGATGCATAGGAGTTTGGACCACAACTTTAATTACAAATCCAAATTATTATGTTATTACGTGTCAACTCCCATTAGACCAAATTTTGACAACAATTATAACAACGTAATTAATAGTTTCCATGTTTGTTGAAACTTGACCCTCAGGATATTCAAATCCTGGTGCCTGTAATTAAATTCAAAGGACGTACAATGACATACCTCTTAGATTTAGAGGTGAGTTTTTCTCCCTCTAACCTTTCATGGGTCAGTTGGAACCCCACCCCCCCCCCCAATATTAAATTAAAATAGTAATAGTATGTAATGGGAGAGGAATGAGTTCACAGGGAAGAAAAAAAATATAAATATTTCAATTGACAAAAAAAAAATGTTAATACCAACATTGTACAAGTGGTAGTATATCTTGTTCTAGTGCGAATAATAATATGTTTCAAGAGAAGATATGTGAAGTGACAAATGTAATTCCCATTTTTAATCTCAATCCCTCCCTTTTCATTCTTTTTAATTCTTATTAAAAGACTCCATAATAATGTTGAAAATTTTTTATTTGCAGGGGCTGCAAATTTAATTGCACAAGCTATTGTATGGGCTTTTGTCATGTTTTAGTAATAGGTTTTCTAAACAACGGAACTCATTAACATACCTAACATTCATTTAATGCTACTCTGTGTATATATATATATACTAATAATTATTACTTTCCCTTGTATTTATATACTTTTTCTATTTAGTCTTACTTATCCTCCCTCATATTTATTTACTTTCCCTAATTAATCATATATTTTCAAACATATGACATTTGAAATATATTTTAACAAGTACTTAATGGATACTAGTTAGACAAATCCTATTACTAAAAAGATGAGAAGAAAGTAAAGTCAATTTGCCACTTCGAATAGGATAAATATGTGGTAATTTCTGTTAGATAGGGAATGATTCTTCTTGGATTAACACTAACAGCTAGGCTTACCGTTTTTGAGAAGGATAGATAATTCTTCCACCATCAGTGTATATATATTAGTAAATATTATCAGTACTGACAGATTTATTTCATGTGTAAAATTCAAATATTGCACGAGTCACGAATCTAAATTTACCAGTGTCATATATCCAAACCTACTCGTGTATACAGCAATGATAGAAAAATTAATCCCAACTTCATTGCCCCTTGAAGCATAGCATAGCATTTGTAATGGGATTCGATAATAGCAAATATTCCTTCAAAAAAAAACAAATATATTCATAGCCCAACTTAATCCCAACTTCATCGCCCCTTGAAGCAAATATATTCCTTAAAAAAAAAAAATAGCAAATATTTCTTTCAAGCAAGCTGCGTGAATGGGCATATATGGAAGTAACTATTGCGCACGAAACATTTACTTTAAAAGTACATAAGATGTTATACTTTTCATTTATCAGAAAGAAAGTGCCATTGGTTATAAATGACTTTTCCTCCCAAAATAAGATGCACAAGTCATTCCAGACTTTCAAGTTTTTCCATCCATAGCAAAACTCTACGTTGGCATCACCTGGCAATGGATGGAAACACGTTCACCCGTGAAAAATATTCTTCCCATCAAAGAAAAAGACGTTTAACCTCAAGTACAATAATGTTTTCAGAAGAGATTTAAAAATCTTTGATCTTACAACATTGTAATGGCCCCTCGGGGGTCGGCACCGGCTGGTGCTGGATTGCCTCGTCAGGTTCTGGCACTGTATGGTCGCGGTTCGATTCTTTCTACCGTCTGGTGTATCTTGGGGACGGATGCACAGGCGTAGTGTTTTAGGATCATCAATGGTAGTGACTGAATTGTAGTAGGTAACTTGTGTTGTTTTTTTTTTTTTTGTCTTCTGTTGAATCAACTGAGGCTTGTTGGATATTTCATTTCTTTACAATTTTAATCAATGGCAACCAAAACAAGAAAATAGATTTTTTGGTTTTTTTTTTAAGGTGAAAACAGAGGCAAAACATTTTGCAACATCGTACATGTGTTTTATGGATATTCTCCCATACTTGATTGTAATTTACTTTAATTAACCAACTTGTTCAATTTTCCGAAATCAATCTTATTTTCCCTTGCTTCTTCCTTAAATTCTAGGCGTATATTGTAACTCTCAAACCTTATTTTGTAAGAATCCACCACGTGGTCTTGTAATCCATATTCTTTCTCCACTTTTTTTAAAGCACTTTTTTTTATCCCTGTTTTTCAATGTGATTCCATTTTGTTTGCTTAGTTTAAAGGATTCAACTTCTTTGAAGAGAATAGGTTCGTAAAAATCTTAAACTCTTTCAACTTTTCAAATGGTTACATTATGAAAAACTGTTGAATTTTTTGAGCATTAAAAAGTAGGATAAATAACTACAAGCAAGTAAGAACTACAAACAAGGAGGAGGGGAAGGCGGGAGGGAAAGAAAGCAGGATAGTTGCTTGTCGACGCGAAGGAAATTAAACCAAGCTATTTTAGTATTAACTTTCCTAATTGGTATCTCGTTTGTTTGGTTTTCATATTAGTTTAAGAAATCTCAAATCATTTTTCAAGTAAGTCCATTTTATAATTATATTTGTTTAGAAAGTTTAGTAGTTTATAAATACTATTAAGGCAGTAGATTATTACTTAACGAGGGAATGTGGGTAGACAAATATTATGAGACGAGACAAATATTATGGGTAGACAAATATTTTTATATCCTACTTTTACAATTTTCTTTTGACGGACGAACTTGATAATTGAGCTTCTACCAAAGATTCATCTTAAATAATTTATTAACTATTTTTGAGTAAGGCAAATTAGGCAATAAACCTAAATGATGACCAAAACAAGTTCGGAGATTGGGACTCAAGTCAATTGGGACTAAAGAATAGTCAGAATCTATCATGGCCTAAAGTCAATTGGGACTCAAATTGGGCCTCGCAGTATAACGCAGCTATTGGGCTTAGTGCACTAGCTTTTCGTTGGTCTATTTCAACACAGCCGATTTCTGTTACTTAAGTGAAAAAATCTCTCATTTCCTCATTGATTGGAAAGAAACAGCTGCTAATCACATGCTAGAATGTTTTCATTTACTAAGATTTTATTGTCTGTCTAACATGTGTTGTAGAGCACGATATATTTCAGGTGTTATATATTTTAAAATATAAAATTAATTAGAAAAAATATATAAACATAAGGAAGAATAATAATTGATACTATGTATGTATATATGTATCTATGCATGCTAAGTTCAACGAATATTAGATGTGTACATTCAACAAAAAAAAAAAAAAAACCTAGATTTTATACTAGATGTGACATGCAACAAGATTGCTAGAATATGTTCATTTAACTAAGATTTTACTGTCTGCATAACATATGTTATAGAGCACGATATATTTCAGGTATTATATTTTTAAAAATATAAAATATATTAAAAAAATATATAAATATATAAAAAATAATAATTATTAATATATATGTATATATATATATGCATGTATATGTATATATATGTATATATGTATATATACATGCTAAGTTAACGAACATTAGATTAGATGTGTACATTCAATAAAAAAAAACCCAAGATTTTATAGTAGATGTGACATGCGACAAGAAATTTGGAACCAACTATAGAGATTGGTTGATAGGGCTGCTTTCCAAAATTTCGCTAGAGCCTTTCCTGTAACGTTGATTGCGGTTATTCATCAAGAAGGAAACTCTCTCTTGCAAAGCCAAGCATTTATTGAGTGATCCAAAATGAGAATCAAAGTGACTTATGATATCAATGCTTATCAACTTTTGTCTGACTTCTTGTCAATCTTTTCAGCTGAATTGGGAGTAAAAAGGCTGCAAAATAAAGGAGATTTCGTGCGTGGTAATCAGTGCCATTTAGACCAATGCTCATTGTATGGTGCTTCTCGTCTCCAAAAATGTAGAGAAGAAAAAAGGAAAGAATCAATTGGAGTGGTATTATACCAAGATTGGCCAAAATTTTTATTAGGAAAAGATGTGACGAAAATGAAAAGGTTGTCTTTTTGGCATTTTTGTCTAGACATATTAAGTGCTGACAAAAAGTTCAGGAAATGTAGACGTGTGAGACATAAACTTCCGGGTAATGCTGCATTCTACCATCATTCAGTGGCTGACGAATCCTAGGTGCGAACTTTCACTTTTCTATTCTCAAAATAATAATGTGTAATTTTATTTGGATTTCTATCACATTTGATGCAATTTTTTTTTCTTTTTCTTACTGAAAGCTCAAAGATTGCATCATTAAAAATCTCAAGGGTTTTTTATATTCTCGATCTGTATTGCATTTTCTTGAAAAAAGAATATGCCATGAAATTTTTGTTGACAACGCAACAGAAATTGATATCCAGTGTTTGGCTTTTCTTGCCTCGGGAGGGACTCCAATTTGCTCAGCACTAGAAGAAGATTTTGTTATATGATTTCTCTCGATCAGACAATAGAGAAACAAAACATATTTAAGTGCATGGTTAGAATCATCGTATATGGGTCGAATCGAAATAGTTCACTGCCATAAAAGAATAAATAAATACAAAGAAAAAGAAATTCTAAGTAGGATTTTTTACTTTCTTTCCAAGACATTGGAAGATTACACACTTGTGAAAGTGAAAAGAAGATACATCATTGTAGCAAAGATTTGGTTCCTTTTGAGAAAGAAGTGGAGGATTCTTTTCTCTAGGGTAATCAACCCCTTTTTTCTCCCTATGCTTGTTGTACAGGCGAGGACTAGCGAGTTGAACTGAGGCTAAATGCTAGACGAGCTCACTGTAAAATAAAAGTGGCTGGGCTAAATTCCGATTTCATTCGATACTTAAATCAAAAGTTATCGAAAGTTATATTCAGTGAATTGGATTGCATACCTCTCCAGTGAATAAGGTGCTGATATTTATATTAGATGAGATAGGGAGTAGAATGATGGGGTCTGCTGATAGTCTGACTTCATAGAATAAGACATGGCGACGATGTCAATAGGAGGGTTGAATTATAGATTAGCTGTCTGTCACATCAATCATATCAATTACTAGTCATATCATAGTAACGAGTCAAGATTTTTGATATCTCGATTAGATGGATCATTCCGAGATAAGTTCTTGCAAAAGACAGTTAGGTTGAGATATCTATGGACCAGGTTAACTGAGATGTTTTCTTAATCGAGATATCCACACTTGTTATTATCATGAATATACTATTTTTTCCGTCCATTTATATTTTCCAGAATTTGTGATGCCTTCTATCTCAAACTAATTCATTTGTTTTTCGACTTTTCAATTAGACAATCTCAGAAATCCTGTAAAAAGTTCACTTCCCTCTTTCGTAGCCCCCAAAAAACACGACATGATGTTGTCTCAAGTGCTAGAGAATTTTATGGAATCCGAGGAGGAATGCGATTTTGAATCACAAACTAATCAAAGCACGAGATTCAGTCAGAACAAAAACTAAGTTTTTTTTTTTTTTTTTGGAGTTCAAATGTTAACATTGCACAGGACCAATATCATAGGGGACAAAGTTCTTCAATTGTCATCTCATGCCCTTCAAACTGTTCTTTTTTTTAAACATAGATTGGACATAAATCCGAGTAATGCATAAAAGCGAGAATTATTGTATGAACTATTTTATAAATCCATGTCATGCGTCCCTTTCTGTGAATGTAGCTAGTGGTTTGGCGGCATGAGCATATATGTTTGTCATGGCATTTAATCTTTAGTGTGATTCGTCTTTAGACCACATTTCTGCGAGAGAAAAAGGACGGAATCTCTTTGGTAAAAGCTAATTAGAAGACCCTCAATTTTGATCTAAAAGAAGCCCTTAGTCATCGAGTCTCGTGCTACTAAAAAGATTAGCAAAAATATTTGCAGTACAAAAGCAATATTTATAAAAACTGTTTTCTTTGATTGATGCTCGTACTAGAAAAAGAGTGATGGATAGATGGAAAATGTGATTGGGTTCGTGATATTCTCAAAAGGGTTTGAATCTTTTGCTGGAGCAAAAGCGAGTCGAAGGGGTCAAATATTCGTTCAGCTTTCTCACTTGGGAAGGTTCTTTCAGCTTCTTCTCGGTTGGGGAAGGTTCTGTTTCATGAGTTGGTTTCGTCGTATTATTTAATCATCAATGGTCCACAATCACAGCTTTCAAACGGGTTTATCTCTCTCTCTCTCTCTCTCTCTCTCTCTTTCTGTCTCTCAAGTTTCAGTTCTTTTTCTGCGTTCGACTATTGATGGGGTTCTCAGCTGTACCTCGATTGTTCTAAGAGATGGAACAAAACGTTACAGGATTCTATGATCATAGCAACAACGCGTAGTGGTAGCAGAAAAAGCTCATTTACGTGATCATGAGACTCGAAAGAGTTTGTACTTTCTTCCCAGATTGTCACAGACTCAAGTTCATCAAGTGTTAATTTTACCAAGTTGTCAGGTAATTCTACGTTATTGAAATCCTTGTCCGCTTAACGTGCATGGTTATTACCAGGAAGGTCATGAGGAAATGAATTTACGATGTTAGTGCCACACAGCTGGAAGTATTGAAGGTGCTTTAGCAAAAACCGATGAGATTATCCAACTAAAGTAAGGTCATAACTCATACAGTAGACAGAATTTGTCTTCTTACTCAGCATACAGGGTAAATTACTAGCAACTCCCTTGTAGTTTTGCATATTATCACATGACCCTTTTTAACGTTTCAAAATATTCATATGACCTCCT